TCTCGTATGCATTCAAGAGGTGTGGGTGTGCATTATTTAAGTGTATTATTCACCACGTTAAGAAACCTTTCTTTGCCTCGCTGGTGCAAAAAAAAAAAAATACCATCCGCCAGGCCAAAATGGAATCAGATTTGGGGACCACACCCCTGGTCTCATTGTTATGCTAATCGGCGTGGCCCAGATAGAGAAAATATGATATTACACGCCACCAATATAAAGGGATCCGAGTTGCTCTCTTGTAGAATTTCGTTGTTTGGTATATATGTGGGGCTAATCTCAGTTCTGCATCGCTTTTTCAAAAACTCAATTATCTTTGCGCCTTAATATAACCGATAATAACGTAATTTGAGGTGCGTCCTGCTTTGACTATTGTACTGTCCAAGAGTTGAAAAATTATATGACTTCAAGAACAAAAAGATTGAAAAATAATCTACTCAAATTACAAATTCGGCATGGGAAACTATTTACAATGTAAAGAGTTTTAAATTTGTATGTATTGAGGAAAAAAATGAATCAATCTAACAAGAAATCAGATTTATTTGACCAGATGTGTCACAATTTCTTATGGAGATTATATATGTATTAATCTATTTTTTCTTCCCTAATTTTAACCGTTGCAAACATTTGACAATGACAGAAAGCTCTATATCTTTTACAGATTTAAAAATTTTATCATAATTTTCTTTTAAACGACCAGCATTTAAAATTTGAGCCCAGGTCAACTCAAAATTCCATTTTTCCTAACCTAAAAATCCAAAATCGGTGCAGTCTTTCTTGAGATTTTTTTTTTTTACTTATTGTTAGTTGCATATAGACAATTTTTGAAAAAGGAAAGGAATTATTTGGCAATCTTGCAAGAATTGGAAAAAAATATGAGCAACTGTCTGTGGGTTGCGTATTACAAAAGAAGGCATTTATTTTCTCCACATCTAAGTTATGTCTATACACATAAATATATCAATGAATTTTTTTTAACTTTATATTAGCCTGATATATGCTTGCTTTCGTTTTTTTCCTGAATTAAAAGTATATTCATTCATCTGAATTCCTCATTTACTCAATAATTATTAAAATCGATTAAAATTAAACATCCTCATTTTTAAATACCTTTGAAATAAAAATTATGCAATTAAAAGGGGGGGCAATTATTTATACCCTAAACCGCCAATCTTTCAAGTCCAACCAAATTTATGTTTGCAGTGTTGATTAAAATTTATTGCTTTAGAGGGCATAATTTTGTGCTCAAAAGCAGGCTTATGTTTCTTATTATATATTTTTCGTAAATTATCACTTTTAAACAACGTGAAACCGTTTCCCGGAGAGTCGTGCATGTGTTTTAATTTTCCGCCTGTCCGAGAATAACAAGATTTAAAGACGAGTTTTGAGTGCCCTGAGAGAGTGGCGTAATTCGAAACACAAACCGCTTAGCGTTAGTTAGCCTCGACGAGATAATTACCCATCCTCGGCCGGTCCGCGCTAATTACCGAGCAGCACAAAACACGTTTTTCTTTCTCGGCAAAAGTGCCCCGAAAAGTACATAAATTACTTAATCAGCTCGCCACCAGGTGGACTTGCGTCCGGCGTGTGAATAAAGAAGGAATTCGAGCCGCGAGAGCTGTTAAATTTTCAGAAACACCCTCCTTGGCCGCAGATAAATAATTGCGTCGTTTTATCCGAGAGTCAGGTCCTTTTCTCAGGTGTGTCACCTGCCCAGGTAGCATCACTTTTTCACTCTATTCAGGCGGACAGAGGGGCTCCCGCTTGAAAAATGTCTCTGAATAAAATTTATATGCCGCCGCCGACCCATCCTCGAACAGATAAAGACCGAATTTATTATTATTTTTTATTTTGGTGTAAGCGTTTCTTTTCCGCTGTGAAAATGTAATTTCGATTCCCCGAAGTTGGACACAAGGTGTCTGCTGCAATCGGCCGTTTAACGAGCCGACCGACACTTTATGGGCCAATTAACTCTCACACACAGCAGAGACCCTTACGTGTTGTCGGTCACGCCAATCCTTGAAACATCAAATTAATTCGTCAAATCTCGCACCACTCCATTATTCCGTCATAAAATACCAGAGGTGCCGAATTAATTCACACCGTAAGTGGCTGCACTTTTTTAATTGGGGATAAAAATTTACTTCTAAAATGGAATCTTATAAAGGAAAATTTAAATTGATTTTATTTCACAGTTGTTTTTAAATATATTGATTTGAAGATTATTAAAAATTATTAGAAAGTTTCTAATATTTTTAATTTAATTTTACTATAGAAACTAAGAAAGATAAAAAAAAAACTGAAAATGCTGAGCTTGAATTCGCCCAATGCAAATCAACTTCTTTATTTCCAACATCACCGAAAAAGAGGCATAAAAATGTACTTGAAAAATGGACGTTTTGCATGTACGAAGGAACGCTTATAAATTCCATAAATAAATTTTACCCAGCGAGAGGTGGCGGGGCGCGTCGTGTGCAAATGGAATTCAGAAATTCCCATAAATTTTACGGCCGTGTTTGGAGCCATAATATGTAAAAGGTATCACAGCCACGGCATGGAAATAATAATGACTTAATCTGGTGGGAAATAAATTATACCTCTGCTATAAATAATCTGTGGAAGGCCCTACCTATCCTTGTGCCTAGTCAGGATGCAAGCGGAGAGTGCCAACTTTGATCAAGAATTTTTTCAAAATCCCCTACACACCAAATCTTTATTTTACCTTCCAACTTCCAATTTACTATGAAATTTAAGTACATGTGAAAAAGATGATAATTATTTGCATTTCTCTCCCTTTCCGAACACATATATATTTCTTTGAAACTGCTGATATGTTCTCTTTTTAAGTAGTGTTATCAATACAAATAATTATTCGTGTAATTAAAATTTTATTTAATTTGATCAATTAATTTACAGGAAAAGTGTTTTTTGTTTTTAAAAAACAACTAAAAAATAAATATAAATATATTAAAAAGAATCTATATAAGTATAAAAGCGTCACAATAAAGTAAAGTTTATTTTAATAATTAGTATGTGAATGAAAATATTAAAATTAACGTTTAAATTTTTAAGGAAAATTGTTTGAATTTAAATTTTCAGAGTGCGCCTCTCTGGTTTAGTGAGCAGCATGGCTGAGGCAGGGAAGACGAGAGAAAAAAAGAGAGGAGGATGCGTGGCGTGCTGACGATTAAGAGAAGACATCTTCATCTGTGGGTGAGGAAAACCAGTCTGCGCCCGGGGGCCCGAGGCCTCCCAAAGGTACCACCTCGAGGTCTCAAGGGTGGCACCTCCGCCACCTGAGTGGCCGCGCTGGGCGATATCACCTCCCAGCTGCAGACGAAAGGCCGCACCTCGACCCGCGCTATCGCAACGAGGAAAAAAAGAAGAAAACGCACTGATTGAACCCAATTGAGACGTCACGAACAGACTGCGGACGTGACATCAATTTCATGTTACTGAAATAAAAATTCAGATTCAATAATAATAATAATTGTCCTCATTTTTAAGGAGATTGAAATAATTATACGAGACTGTAACAAAATTTGTAATTAATCATAATTGCTCATTATTTAAATTTTTTTATAATTGTGACCTTTGAAGGTCAAAATAAGGAATTGGGAAAGTAGCTCAAAACAAACCCTTAGGACGTGTAATAATTAACACGATTATTTCAGTCACCCAAAGTGAAAAGGGCCGCCGTTTACAGTGGCAGTCTTTGCTGCATAATTACGTATTACTTTAATTACACGGCATTCTCTCCTCATATGAGAGGCTGTCTGATGATTTATTAATTAATTACAGTCGCTGAAAACGCTCAATCAAAGCTCGCAGCAGAGAATCGGCTCGGAACATAATAATTTTTTTTGTTCAGTTCAAAATTGAAAATAATGCCGTGGCGTGTCTATGTACAAATAAATAAGTAAATAACTACATGAGCCCCACAGGGCCGAAACTCCAATTAGGACGGTGACTCGCGAGTTTTCCGAGAGCGGCACGATGTTATTATGTAAGCAGGCGAATAGTCGTCTTCTCTCTCGCGTGTATTATTATCCGCATTACCCTGCCCGCGGAGAGCGCGCGGGACACAACAAAGGGATATTTTCATCAAAATAGCAGCAGCAGCATTTCAAGAAACCCGAACGCAAACAATGGAGGCGGATTTTTTACCCTTTAAAGCCACCATGCTGCGACAAAATCCAGCTCTCTCTCTCTCTCTGATCCCTTTTTGATAACCAACTATGCACACACTCGACGCCGTAAATAAAAACATCAAGTGAACAATGTGTGGTGCTCTTGAAATGCCTTTTCCCTCCGGCGTGAGAACGGATTTTGGGGACATTTTTGATTATGAATCACTTCGGATTAAATCTCTAAGTGACGATGAAGATTTTCAAATAAAATAAAATCTAATGGGCAGAATATGATTTTTTTAAAGATTTTCTTATTTTGGGATACAAAAATTTGTGTTTATAATGCGATGATTTTCAAAGGTCAGGATCGTTGGGTCACTGAGATTGTAATAACATAAATTTTAGGAGGGCCGCTGTATTATTTTAAAATAAAATGTCAAAGAGCAAGTTAGTGTCAATCGGTTTGTGGTGACTAGAATAGAAAATTGTAAGTTGGTTCAGATAAAACCACGACTAAAAAATATTTAAATATTTTTGCAAAGCGCAGAAAATAGTTTTGTTAATTTTTTTTTTTCAAATTTTTCTTCACCCTCCTTTTTTGCAGACATTAGTTTTTCAATAAATAGGTATTTTGGAAATTAATAAATTAAAACATAAATAATAATTAAGTGGCAATTAATTGTAGAGATCGAAGTTCAAGATCACAATTCCATGACCCCTTCGCATAGTCAGATATATTTTTGGAGTTACATATATTTATATTTTGCACTAACAAATAACTTATCTCTTCACTAATAACGAATATGGAGCGCTTTTCTTCAGCGCTTTATGTCAGGGGAAGGGATATTGCTAAAAATTAAGAACTGGTCTTCCATAAAAGTAAAACAGAAGCAAAGTCTCAGACTGCTGCTGTCGTCCACGGCGCTCCTTCCTGAGCCTCAGTCTTAGTGAAGTTTTTACTTTTTACCTTTAATTTTCAATTTCGCTTTTATCTTAACAAATTCAGATAAAAAGGATAAAATGAAGCGAGCAATTTTGTTGCTCGTTTGCATGGCGAGTGTCTTCGTCTTGCATTTAGAAGCATCTGCTGTGAATTCAAGGTAAAAATAATTCTTTTTTTTAATAAAAATCTAAATTAGTTAATTTTTTACCCTCTTTAGCAAATTCATTTTCATTGCTCCGCGCACTTTGACAATGGGAAAAGAAGAACAATTTTCGCTGCATGTTTTGGAAAACCCTCAAAACTTGGATTTCAAAATACGGCTAGTTCGGTCGCAAATAACTACACAGATCATACCTCGCGCTGGTCAGAAATAATTTAAAATTTGAAATAATTCTCAAATTCCCATTTTTATAGAACCCAAAGTTCACAATTTTGACTTCTACGTGGGAATAACCGACGACTCCACAGCAATTTTGGAAATTGTGGCTGGTAACAGTGACGATGCGCAAACTTTTCGCTCCAACGTAACAATTACGAGAGAGCGAAAATTGATTTTTATAGAAACAAACCAGCTAATTTACAAACCAGGAGAGCTTGTCCGCTTCCGAATTCTACTCTTGGAAATCGTCAAACTGCTTCCAGTTGCAGAACGGGTATTTTTTTTAGTTATTTTTATTTGGCAATGAAACCAAGTTTCATTTTTTCCCCAAAAGTTGTCAGAAGTTTTCATAGAGGATCCTGATTTCAACAAAGTGGCCCGATGGGAAAATGTTCAGTTGAACAACGGATTTGCTGAGCTCGAGTTTCAGCTGAAAGAGAACATTATTGAAGTGAAAGATATTATAATTGTCCTTACAGCTCATAATAAGTAAAAAGTGTAGGAGGGCTTCTGGGATATACAAATTCGAACTAGTGAAGAGTCACATGGCGCTATCATCAAGCATTTTGAAGTCAGAAAGAAAGTTTTGCCTAAGAAATTTAAAATAACTTTGGAACCGCCTACTATTATTAAAGCAAGTGACATTAAAGACACAACGTGGAAAGTTTGTGCAAGGTTTTTATTTATTGAAAGAAAATTAATAAAACGATTAATTTACTTTATATTTAAATAGGAACGTTTTTGGAGGGCCTGTCCGAGGTGATGCCACGATTGTTTTTAGTGTCATGAAACCTATACGAGGGAGTGGAAGAAATTCTGGTGGTACATTGAGCACCGTACTTGAAAATACCACTAAACAGGTAAAAATAATCAGGATCTATTGGTTTGGAAAGCCTCAACGCTCAAAGAAAATTTAATTAAGAAAAAAAAACGAAGTTGCAAAAAATAGGATTTTAAAGATATGCAAATTAAATTTTTATTGAATTAAGAATAAATGATTGACTTAAAATTTTTCCTGAACCCACACAGCTAAGAAACGAGGACGGATGTTACGATTTTGTCCTGGTGAAGGATCTGTGGAAGGATAGCGAAATTGTCGAAAAGGGTGGAATCATCGCAAAAGTATATGTGGAAGAAAAAAGCTCTGGGCACAAACAATCTATCAAAGAAATCACAAGATATTTTGATTTTAACAAGATACAAATGAAATTCAACCGCTTGCCTAAATACTACTACCCTTTCATCCCCTACCATGGAGAAGTTTGGTTTAATTTTTTTTTTTAGTATTTAATATCACTTTTAATAATAGGTGCTGTTGAGCCAAGGTGGAGAGCCTCTGCCAAACAGGAGCGTGGAGCTCAAATCCTTTCGACAGGGGGATGTGGGGAAGATTATTGCCGTCACAGACCAGGCAGGCCGATTGCCATTCACAATCTACACGGGAAAATCGACCGATGAAATTAGTTTCAGGGCCAAGGTGAACTTCTCTTATCCAAAATGAAAAATAAGCAACATTTTTTGTTAATTCTCATTTTTAGTTAATGGATGAGAGTGAAGACAAAAATGATCATATTCAATTCAGCGATCACTTGGTGACTCCTTGGTTCTCAAAGACCAACTCTTACATCTCAATTTCCTCTCCTGACGAGGTGGCTTGCGACGGAACGGTTTCAGCAGAAATATCCTACACGTTTCCCAATATAACTGAGAATTCTGACATTCAATTCGAGTACTTGGTAAAAATTAAATCTATTTTAAATAAACTTAATTAATTTTTTTTACCTATAGGTTCAATCGGTTGGAGATTTAGTTCACATAGGCCGTCAAAACGTGAAAGTGAAAAGCGAATCATTGAACTCTGATTCCTGGCCGAACATCATATCCAAGGCTGATGTATCTGCAGAGGAGCAACTTTTGATTGGAAAGTGGACGTTGAACCTCAAAATTGAACCGCATTGGTCACCTCTGATAAAAATTGTCATTTACTACTTGCGTGATGGCAAAGAAATCGTATCTTCAAACAAGAATATAGAGGTCAAGGGTGGATGCTTCAGAAACGCAGTAAAATTAATTCCCCACTTAAATTAGGACAAAGGTTCAAATCTGTTATTGTAATTAAGGTTAGCTCGAGATTCACGGTGAAAAAGGCTAAGCCTGGCCAAAATGTGACTCTTTCTGTCACCACCAGTTCCAAGTCACTCTGTGCGTTTTCAGGAATTGATAAGGCCTTTGTAGATCCAAACACAGCATTGACAGTCGATCAGATTCGCAGCGGCCTTAAATACTACGACGTTAAACCTAATTTTTTCAGTGCTTGGGATTACAAGACGGAAGATTGTAAACCAGGTAGCAACATTCTTATTATATTCATTCCAACTACTTATTTTCTCATTTTTCTAAAATAAGAAATAGGTCGTGTCATTTGATTTTTATTTATCATTTTTTTTTATATCTTTTTTAATAAATAAACAGAGATAAAGAAACACACACCATCTATAATAAGCAAGAGGTCTATCCGGAGAGGTACCTTTGATGTTGCTTTTGGAAACGCCAAAAAGGCCTTTGAAGTTAGAAAATTACTAAAAAATAAGTCTTTGATCTAAGTGTGCTCCCTTTCAATGTTGAATTTCAGGACGGCGGATTTGTGATTCTGAGCACTCTGGACCACAACATCAAACCATGTCGATACGGCGAGCCCAAAGAAATATGCGACATCTGCCCCACCAAGGATTCAAATAGTTTTTTCACCGAAGACGATTCAGCAGGCGAGAGCCTAGGTTGGTTGCAGATGAATTTAATTTTGCTTCGTTTCTAATCTCACACTTAAATTTCAGAAGACACAGCGATTTTGGGTAACTTTGCTCGACCTCCACTCACTCCCACTCTTGGGCCAGCTGAAGATATCATTGTGGCAACTGATGTATCAAATTCTCCACAGACGTGGCTTTGGCAATTAGAAGAGATTAAGTTAGTCTTGAATTACCACCTAACTTTTATCACTTATATTTTGCATTATTACAGTGGGAATACTACTAAGAATTTGGAGCTTGAGACGCCTCGTTCAGTCACCAACTGGATTCTGAACACGATTTGCGTATCCAGCACAGAGGGATTAGGCATTGCACCTGAAACTTCGCTTCCCGTCATCAATTGACGTACATTAAAACAAACTAAAATTTAAAAAAAAATATTTTTTTTATAATTCCAAACTCTATAATTTGAAAATTATTTAATGTAATCTTTGGTGTAAGAACAATAAAGTTCATTTCCAAACTTTTCTATTAAAGTATTTTTTTTCCGAAGTTGTTAAGAAAATAAATCAATAAATCAATATATCTCACATCAAATAAACCCTTCATTTGAATAAGGGCTTGATTGAAAAAAAAGTTCAACACTTGGAATCTAAATATAAACCTGCTTTTGTGTAGAATTTATTGTTTTCAAAACTTGGTGCATAATAATTGTTACCCAAACAACACTGAGGGCAAGAACTAGAGCTTGGAATTGTATAGATAAATAAACATTTAACTTGTATTACTTGTATATCCGTTAGAAATTTCTATAAAATAAGTATTCATGAGGAATGATAAATGTTAAAAAATAAAATGGTGATAAGACAACAGATTCTAAAAGCCAAACAAGAAAGAGGAAAACTCTTTTGAATTTCCTTATTATTCTCGTTTTCTTTGCATAAAAATTAGCTTCTTCAAGGAAGAATATATGACGCGTCATTATCGCGTTGACCCCTGGCATATGATGTCAGAATGTAGCCAAATAAAAAGCAAGAGCTTGTCTTACATTAAACACCCGCAGACGCTTCGTTGCTACCCAAGACGACGCTTCCTCTCGATCCTCTCCCGGATTAAATGATTAGTAAGTTTATCATCATTTTTAAGGACAAATTTAATTAATCAAAACACAGATTGAGCTTAGCAAAATGAGGAGAGCACTTTTGCTACTGCTGTGCTTGTTGAATTTTTCAAGGTTACAGGCAGAAAATGCAAATATAGCAAGGTAAATTTGCTTGCAATATGCCCTTTCTTTATAATTTGGAATATGATTGTATTTTTAGTAAATTTATATTTGTTGCACCTCGCACTTTGTCCATCGGAAAGAATGAAAAGTTCGGTCTGAACATTTTGGAGAATTCACAAAATTTGGATTTTATAATCAGACTTGTTGATACACGAAATGATAAAGAATTACATCAAGTAAGCTTGAGAAATGCTGGTAAGGAGAATTGATTTTTTAGAATAAAAAGATCTGAAATTAAAATATTGCAGAGGCAAAAATGCATAGCGTTGATTTTCCCGTGCCAATGAACAACCTTTACAGTGCCGAATTGGAAGTTGCGACCAGTGATGGAAAGACATTGAAGTCGCAAATTTCATTTTACCGCGAGAGAAATTTGGTCTTTGTTGAAACGGACCGGCCCTTTTACAAACCAGGAGAGCTCGTGCGCTTCCGGATTCTGCACTTGAAAAGCAAACTGCTGCCAGTTACTGAACCGGTACAATTTACATTCTGAATAATATCTCTCAATTAAATTATTTCTATGAATCTCTAAGATAACAAAAGTTTGGATCGAAAATCCAAGCTATATAAAAGCGGCGCAATGGAAGAAGGTCAAATTAAATAATGGACTCGCACAACTTGAGCTGCAGTTAACAAAGGAGCCAATTAAAGTAAGAGGAATAATTAATTTGTGCCTAAATAAATTTTTAATTTTAATTTAAAAAAACGTCTGAAGGGCAATTGGAATATTAAAGTTCAAACAACGAACGAATCTAACAGCCTCGTCTCAAAGTCCTTTGAAGTCAAAGAGTACGTCCTGCCCAAATTCGAGGTCACAGTGGAGCCGCCTGCTTATATCGTGGCGCAAGAAGATAAAAACTACACTTGGAAAATTTGCGGAAAGTAAAATAAAATTTATGTGTCACTCGGAAGTAATGCTCAAGTTTAAAACTTTTCAGGTACAGTTTTGGGGGCCCCGTGCAGGGTGAAGCTGTGGTGACATTTACGATTCAACAGGCAAGCTATAGGTGGTACAATCGATTTGATGGCCAAGGGGACACTTTGCTTCAAATCCAAGGAAAACTGGTATAAATGAAATTTGGGCTGAGCACATAATTTTATTGCTCCTTTAAATTAATTACGTTGTCTATAAAGAATATATTCTTTGGATTTTTAATGTTTCACTAATTTGACGTTTAACTCTGGTTTAACTTATACTATAATTTATAACCGTTCATAACTTTAACATAACTTTTAATGCTGCATATACAAAAATTTGTTTATTTATTATTATTATTATTATTTTTTTTTTTTTTTTTTTTTTTTTTTTGGAAAAAATGTATCCACAATTATTTAAAAACTACATTTTTACTATCATTAGAGTTATAAAAAATTGTTATTCGTTACTAATTAGCCATCGGTTTTATTACTTAATGAATATTTTACATACTTTTTTTAATCGCAGCTAAGAAAAGAGGACGGTTGCGTTGAGTTCACTCTGGAAAAAAGCCAATGGAAGGCGAACGAAAATACGCACTTTGGCGGAATAAGCGTAAAAGTCACAGTCGAAGAAAAGGGCACGGGCGAAAAGCAGTCAACCACCCACAAGACCGACTTTAAATACAGAAGTGTAACTGTGGCATTTGATCGGTCTCCCAGTTTTTACTACCCTTTCATCCCCTACCATGGAGAGGTTTCCAATTCATTCCTCTTTAAATTTCATCTAAATTATAAATATAGGTGCAATTTAAATATCAAGACGGTGAGCCCATTTCCGGCAAGGCAGTGTTGCTCATTGCCAATGGCGGAAAAGCCTTTGAAGAGCAAACGATTAGGGCCGTCACCGATCAATCAGGTCGAGTGCCATTCACTCTATACCCAGGAAAATCAAATGAAGAAATCACAATAATAGGGAAGGTTGTTTTCTTTCTATTCCAAATTAATAAATGTCTAATTATTTAATATTAGTTCCATCCAGGGACTGTTGAGAGTGATGCCACATTAAAAGACGTAACTGGAAACCACGAGATAACTGCTTGGTTTTCACCATCCGATTCTTACATCTCGATATCCGCACCTAAGGAAGTGTCTTGCGAAGGGGTAGTACCGGCAGAAATTACTTTCACTGTGCCCAAGTATTCATACAAAACTGAAATCCGTTTTAATTACTTGGTAAAATATAAACATAATTATTCATACAAGTGTCTAACTATTATTTGAAATTTGATTAAAAGGTTCAGTCAAACGGGGTTGTTGTTAAAAATGGACATCAGAGCGTGAAAGTGCAAGGCCAACCGATTAACCCCGATTCTTGGCCAAACATAATTTACAAGGCTAATGTGACAGCTGAAGAGCAAATTCTCACTGGAAAATGGACTTTCAATTTAAACTTGGAGCCCCAATGGTCACCCCAAGTGAAAATTGTCATCTTTTACTTGAGCGATGATGACGAAATTGTAGCTTCAAGCAAAACATTTGAATTGAAAAAATGTTTCCAGCACAAGGTAGAAAATACTTTCAAGGCAACTAAGTTCTAAGCCGCGTTTTCATACAGGTCACATCTAAATTTGTGGAGAAAAGGGCCGAGCCAGGCCAAAAAGTGACCCTGTCGCTGACCACTAGTTCCAAATCTGTGTGCGCGATTTCAGGAATTGATAAGGCGGTCACTTTTCTCGACCGAGAACGAGCATTAACGGTTGATAAAGTTTTCAACGCTCTTAAAATCCACGCGGTCAGGCCAGAGTATTACAATTCCTGGGAGTATAGGACGCGGAAGTGTGAAAAAAGAGATGATGGTCATTATTTTACTGTACTTTTCAAATTCAAAATTTTAACTAATTTATAATTAGTGCCCATTGATGTGCCCATCCCTGTTCCTGCCCCAGTTAAGATTAAGAAAAGGTCGATTTGGAGAGGATTCAATTATGATATTACTTTTGGAAATTCGAAAAGAGCTTTTGATGTTGGCAATTTATAATTATTGAAACTTTCTTCACTATAACCGAGTTTCGTAGGAAGGTGGATTGCTGATTCTGAGTACTCTTGGGCACAACATAAAACCCTGTCAGTACGGAGAGTTCAAGGAAAACTGTGACCCCTGCCCGTACCTACAAATGGTCCCACTTTATTCCATGCGGCCAGTCGACATGGGTGCGTTGGAAATAAGTATTAATATCATAATTAAAATTCAAAAACTAAGAAGACAATTTGGAAATTATGAGAGGCGGAGTTCCTGAGGCTGTTTCTGCCTATGCATCACCTGGACTAGCTGGGCCACCTGGAGCAGCAGGCTTTGTGCCTCAAGAAGATTTGGTGGAAATGCGGACAGATTTTCCCGAAACATGGCTTTGGCAATTGGAGGAGATAAGGTTGCTTATTCATTAAACAACCTTTTTTTATAAATTAAATACTTTCTTGATTTAGCGGTGACAATTCTAAAAATTTGGAACTAGAGACTCCTCATTCAATCACTGATTGGATTTTGAATACAATTTGCGTTTCAAATACAGAGGGCTTTGGAATGGCGCCCGAAACGTCACTCAGGGTTATCAAACCTTACTTCATGGACTTCAACATTCCCTACTCTGTAAAAAGAGGCGAAGTTTTGCCTTTGAAAGTGTCCCTGTTTAACTACTTGAGTCACGAAATTCCGGTAATTAAATTCGGTTATAGAACCACCAGCACCTTTAGCATGCTTAATATTCAAAACAGATCAAACTCACATTCGGCCAATTCACTGGTGGTGACTTGAAAAGCGAGAAGACCTTCTCAGCTTGTCTCCCTAGCAAAGACAACCTGGTGCACATCTTCAAGCTAGATGCAAATGTGTTGGGCAAACACAATATTTCGGTGACGGCTGGATTAGACCCTGACCTGAAAAAGACGTGTGGGCCGGAAATATCAGTCAACATGAGGTGATATTTTACATAAAATGCCTATTTTTGTTTAATAATTTTTAAAATATTCAGAGATGGAATAACAAAGCCAATTATAGTTAAACCAGAAGGCATTCCAGTTGAGAAAACCAAATCTCTGTTTGTGTGTTTGGAAGGTAATTTAATAATTTACAAATTATTTAAAAATTTAATTGAATTATTTTTCACTCGAAAGGGGAAAATGAATCAGCACTGATCAGCTGGCAATTGGAAGTTCCTCAAAACACAGTGCTCGATTCAGCGAGGAGTGAAGTTTCTGTAATTGGTGATTTGATGGGACCCAGTTTGGAGGTGAATTTAATCAAAAATCCTTATTACGAACTAGTAAAATTAATTTAAAAATAGAATTTGGACTCTTTGGTGCGTCTTCCGATGGGCTGCGGAGAACAAAATATGGTTCTATTTGTGCCCAACATTGTGGTTTTGAAATATCTGACCGCAACCAATTCCATAAATCCAACCCTGAGGGCAAAGGCCCTGACAAACATGGAGACAGGGTATCAAAAGGAGCTCAACTACCGCCATGACGACGGCTCATACTCTGCGTTCGGAAAAAGTGATCCGTCAGGCTCAATGTGGCTCACAGCTTTTGTCGTCAAGTCGTTTGCCCAAGCCCAAAAGTTAATTTCCATCGACAAGCAAGATTTAAAAAAGAGCACAGACTGGATTTTGAAGCAGCAGCTCGAAAACGGCTGCTTCAGACAGGTCGGCACCGTTTTCAACAAGGCAATGAAGGTTTGAATGCAAAATTTCAATTATTATAAAATAAATTAATTCTGGAACTAAGGGTGGAGTTGCCGATTCTTCGGCAGTTGCGCTTTCATCGTACATCATGATAGCCCTTATGGAATCAGGAGTTCAACTGGACAAAAAAATTATTGAGAATGGCGTTTACTGCCTGACCAAGTTTGACAACCAAACCGATTTGTACACCGAGATTCTTTCAGCCTACGCGTTGCAGTTGATTAGCCAGCGAGTCAACACCGTCCTCACTAAAAATGCTGCAGAGAGTTCTTTTAAAACTTTAATTCTCAAAGCCACCACTGGAAATGAGAGCGAAATTTTCTGGCAAAAAGAAGGTTTGTGTTTTTTAAGAAAATTTTACCAATTATTAATTTTGTATCCAAAGATTCAAGTAATTTGGGACTCAGCATTGAAATGACTGCCTACGCAGTTTTAACTTTGCTAAAAGTAGGCGGAGAGGAAAATTCAATTCGTGCTTTCAACGCCGTCAAATGGATTTCCAAACAGAGAAATGCTCAGGGTGGATTCGTTTCAACCCAAGTAAGTTTCAAATGACGTGATAAAAATTAAAAATATTAAAATTCGGCGCAAAGGATACTGTTGTTGCTCTTGAAGCTTTGGCAACTTACGCCTCAACTTTGCCATTGGGTGACGTGAAAATGAATCTTAAGTTGTCAACCGACGACACCAACGATTTGGAATTCTACATCGACGAAGAAAATAGACAAATCTTACAAGAAAAGGAACTCGCCCGAGTGCCAAATAATTTGCACTGGTCGGCAACCGGAAAGGGATGCAGTCTTGTCCAGGTTGATTAAAAATTTTAAAAATTGTCCACGGATTTTTTAAATAATTTTTTTTTTAAATACTAGAGCACTTTGAGATACAATATTAAAAATTCAACCGATAAGCCAGATGCTTTTAGTATGGAAAGAAAATTGACAAACATTGTGCCGAATTCGTGCAGTGAATTGCATTTGGAGTTCAACTTGACTTACAACTTAGCTGACGGTGCCTCCAACATGGCTGTTCTTGAAGTTGAGCTTCTAAGTGGGTACGAACCGGAAAGGTCAACACTCGACGACCTGAAACACACATTGCCATGTAACATTAATTTACATAAATTTATTTAAATCTTATTTATGATAATAAAAAAATTAGCATTCAAGAGATGGGACATTGAGGAGGGCAAAGTAAACTTATACTTTGATTCAATCGAGAAAAGCACGCTGAAAGTTGGGTTCGTGATTGTGCAGAGAATTTTGGTTGAAAATATCAAACCGGCGCAGCTTAAACTTTATGACTACTATGAGATGGAATCATTTGTGCGAAAAGTAAGAAATTTTATATTTTGAGTTCAAAATTATCGAAAAGATTAAACAATTATTAATTTTATTTTATTATACTTTCAGGATTATGGAGTTCAGCACTTAACTTGCAAATAACATGTTTAAACTTTGGTAAAAATATTTTTGCTTACTCCACTTACTTTGTTTTTGATATTAACAAATAATTTTAGTTTGCCAATAAAATATCTTAAAATATAAAAATTCAAAATATTTTTATTTGTAAGAATTATTTCAAATAAATAATATTGTTTACTGAAGACCATAAACAAATTTCTGAAACTAATTTTATGTGAATTTGACAAATCCAGCCAGATTTCTGCTGCATTATTTGCGCTCTCCTGCTAATCGCAGAAATGCAGCCTGCAGGGCGACAGCGCTCAGCGGGTTGCATACTCGTTATTTTGCTTCTTTCGACCACTCCATCAATCACGCGCGCGCGAGAGAAACACATAAATTTGAGCCCGGCCAGGAGGGAAAGCAATCAAGCTCTTTTTCACAAAGCAACGGACGCACAAAAAATAAAACAGGCAGCTGAAAGGGGTCTTGTAATCCGAGGGCGGAGTCCTTTCGGATGCCCTGCTAGGATCCCCGGCAGCCTCGAGGAGCACATTTAGGCAGGCGTGTGATTCGGCCAGCGCTCACAGTCAGGTGTAAAAAGCAATAAAACCGCCGCACCAGGCCTATTTTACAACAGTTTTTCCATCGCATTCCTGTCATCACGCACACACCTTTTTGTTTAGCTTTTTTATAGTGGCGGAAGAGGAAAAAGAGAAGAAATTTCCCCCATTACAATATGTGTGAAATATTTTTATAAGATTAAGTAGTAGTTCTCATCAGAGTTCTTGTGATGGTTCAAAATGTTATAAACTTTTGACCTGGATGGTCAGATTTTTTTATAAATATTTCATACAAATTTAAACAATAAAAAAAAAATCTGAATAGAATTAAGTTTGTAAAAAACACAAAAGAAATCATATATATCAGTGATTATAAAAAAATCTATTGAAAAATATTAATTAAATTAATTTCAATATTGTGAATGGAAAATTTATATTACAAGATTAAAATTTAATACTTTTAATAATTGATATTTGTGTTAAAATTTATTTAATTTTTTTTCTCTAAGTTATTTGTGACTTTTCGGAAGACCGCTGGTTAATAATTCCAGTTGTCGGCAGCGTGCGTCTATTTAATTTCGCGATGATTTAGTGCTAATGAGCTGCGTGATTAGTCACACCGAAAACTGACGGCCATCATCTCGTTCTGTTAATTTCCTTTGGTCTACGCACCTTTTCGTTTTTGTGCGTTGGCCTGCGAGAAAAAAAATGAGAACGAGAAGAGAATAGTGGGGCCAAAATTGCCCTTGGAGGTTGTCTTGACAGGGTAGGCCAGCACAACAGAGATGTCAGGTGAGGCCCTAATAACAATATTAATAATGAATCAGCCGCGGGCCATCGCACCGTGAGACGACGGATCGCCCGCTGCAGTCGTTTTTTCCTCGCCCCGCCCCTAAACCTGTTGGATGAGCAAGCACAAAACCTGTGATTAATAAATATTAACCTCTACAGATTTATTAACGATAAGCAAATTTATGTGAGCCCCGCCGAACTGCTTTTAATTCCGAGATCGGCCCGGGTTTGTGTTTATATGTTTGGGACCACGCATGCAGCTCCAGAGGTACCCACCACGCTTTATCAATTTTCTTTTTTTCTTTCTGGTGTGGCGAGAGCAGCTAGTCCGGCCGGCCGCTCACGACTTTCAAAATTACACCGCGTTCGGAACCCGAGAAACGCCGGCGATCGGAGATTACAACGCGCGGGTTCTTGCTTTAATTTCTTAATTTATATGTTGTCTGCTGCAATCGTTTTCAGTACGGAGCACCGAGAAATTTATTGAATTTCGAAATTATTTTTGTATCCCAAAGACTGCGCAGAGTCAAAGGTCGAGAATGCGAGGGTGGCCGTATACAAGCTGTGCAATTGACGATTTGAAATTAAAGTATGAAGAATTAAGAAGGACTTGGATCCACGAAAATCTTCAAGAGACATGATCAGATTAATAGTGTACATAACTAAAGCTTTAAGCTCAATCAAATTTAATAATATTTATAAAATAATTCACATTGCAAAACTTTAATTTAAAAAAATAAAATTTTTATGATAAATTATTATTATTATTATAAAACAATTTGTAAAATTTTAAGTACATTCATTACTTAACATGCAACAAATAATCTAACATATTTTTTTTTACTTTACTTGGACAGCCATTCATGCAATTACAATCCACTATGATAAAGAAATAATTTACCGCGGAATAGATAAACCTCTTGATTGTTATTTATGTTCAAAAATTTAAAATAATTGAATATTTAAAATAAAAATCAATTACTTTCATTTCAGATTTTAAAGCAATGTAAATATATATTGAAAAAAAAACAGAAAATTATAATCAATGTGAAATCAAGTCAATTTCCCACTTTAAAATCCGTCGGTCATATGGCAAATCGAAGCGGCGCAAGAGATCTATTTTTTCCCCGTCTGCTGGCAACGAGTACAAAATTAAGTTCTCATTTGATTCGAGTGCTCGAAATCCCGCGGCCTCGGTCTGGTTGGAGGATTTATTTTTATTTTCGGCTCCATTCTTTTCCAGCTTTTTTGCGGGCGTCGATTTGGAGGGTGTGACGAATGGCAGTGACACGCTCGCCTGGGCACGCCAGAAAGAAAGAGATCATTTGCTGCTTCTGCTGCTGCCGACAGTGAACGAAAATACCTGATGGCTGCTTTATTGTGGCCGCGCAGAGCAGAGTGTCTCGATTATTAACACCTCACCAGGGATGGCTGGTGAGCCGCACGGCCGCAGACAAATTACTCTCGCACTCCAATTTATTCATCACGGCGCTCACTCTCATTTTTTTAAACGCTCGGATGCTGCCAGAACAATCGTGGGGCTCTGCAGCAGATAATTTTGCTTGATGCTTTGATCGAATGAGAAAAAATACATCTAATGTCGTCTCCAGTTTCTTTTTTTAATTTTTTAAACTGGCATTCCAAATTATAATTGCGTTTTTTTTTTAGTATCAAAATTTTTCCACAAAATTTATATCATTATTGTAGTTGCTTATTTTTCCCATTTATATTATTCCATTAAATCACATTGTTTTCATTTATAATTTATTGATAAACGATTTATTTGAAAGAAAGTGTAATTCGGAAATTGTTAGAAAGGCACCACCCTATCTACAAGCAAGAGACACAATAAGAATTATTAAATGTTTACAAAATATTTAATAACAGCACTTTTCCACAAAGATTATGCTGAAATGCAGTTGCGTGCTACACCTTGACACAACTAGTTGGAAAGAAAATCTTCCAGAAAATTTAAAATTTATGTTATAGACATTGCTCAAATTAAATAAATATAAAAATAAACAAAGACAATAAAATGCATAATAGCAAAATTAAATAAAGTAAATTAATAAAATTTAATATTTTCCCATTATTTATATACAAATTTATTTTTAAATAAAAATAATAACTGAATCACGTTGAATTATGAAATTCAGAAATTGTTTTTCATTGCTTTTTATATGGAAAGAAATGTTTAACTTTCATTTATTTTTGCTCTGCGTTGTTGTGGACACGTCTAGCATTTGTGTCCACTCTGCAGGTCCAGTGCCGTACAGTTGTTTAGAACGCAGATAAAAAAAAATTTGCGTTTGAGCGACGAGACGGGCGAGCGTGATTGAATTAATGAGCCGGACTGATTAATCACGCCGGCCGAACGACCGGTCTTGGTATAGCGCGAGTGCACAAGAATAATGAGCAGAGGTGTGTGCGCGCAAAACACCAAACACTGGCTGGAAACAAAGCGCCGAAAATGAGATCCCGAAAAGATGCCTCGGCGGTGAAAATAATTTCGAGGGAGGAGCGAGGATAACAACTATATTAGACCTGGGCCTTTTTTGTGGCCATCAAATGACTCGCCGCGTTCGAAAGTGTGTGCTAACGTGTACCACGGGGTTCCCAGGAATTCTCGCTCGCTCCCAGCTGGACGCTTTCCCGAAGCTCATCAAAACACACACCATCTCCTTTCCACTCTTGAATTCTTAATTATATCCCTCGTGAAGGTGCACTTTTTACCTCAAATTTCCTTGCGCGCCTTTTAATCAAAACCGATATGAATACCCGGGTGTTTACTTGGAAAGAGAGGGAGTGAGTTGGTTAAAAATTGTAAATTGAAAATATAATTACCTGAGTTTTTCTTTATAAAAATTATAAAAACCAAGATCAATTTTGTTGGTTATATAGAAATTCTTGCATGCACTTTTTTTTGGGATTTATTGACCAAATATTTCATAGACTAAAAAAAATTAAATCAAAAATTGTTTAACTTCTTCGCTTGCCGCAAATGAGAGAATTGAATTTTTAAGATTAAGTAGATAAATTGTATACAAATTTATAAAGATTTTCTTGAAAAGTAAATATTTAATAAATTAAAAATTTCATTGATTGATAATAATTATAACTTTTCCGTCTCTTGATGTACTTGTTTCACCTGCACTCTTTAGACCCTCAAATTCCCTGCTCAATTTCACGTTTTTTTATTCTTGGAAAACGCGCGAGCTGTATTTCGGCGGTGGTTATCACCTCTCCGCGGAGAATGCAGGTGCTGCCGGCGCAGGAAAGCGTTTTGTTCTCGCTCGCCACGCTCGTTTATTTTGGTTGTTTGGGCCCAATGATCTGTAAAAATAGCTCTTTCATCGCACCAAGGCCACGCCGCGCGTCGCCTAATTAATTACTGCCCGCTTCTCATTTACTCCAAAAGTTCTCCACGCACAGCAAAATTAATTTGTAAAATATTCTCTCACAATCAAATAAATCACTATTTAAAAAAAAGGTTTCAAAAAAATTCCAACGAGGTGAAAAATTATGGAAATGAGTTTGGCGGGCGCGAAGGAAGCGCCGGAAAATTGATGAGGCGAAACTCAGATTCTTTCTCCACCACATACAGGGTGTGCGTTTTGTCAGCAGCCTTAACGACTGCTGGCAGGTAAAGATTGAGGAAAATGATGATGAGAGGATAGTCAGCGGCAGCATCTGTTGCTCGCTGATGGCCAGGTATACCAATTAACATTGCTGATGCACCAATCATTGTGATTACGTGCCTCTGGCTGCGCCTCTCTCTCTATTTCTCTTCCATGTTGTTTTTGTTTTCACTTTTCTCTCTGTGATATTTTTCTCGCTTATGGTGCGGCTGGCGGACAAAAAAAGCGGTGGTATCGATTTTTAGCTTTTCTTGTGTGGCGAAGAAACGTTATTGATTCCCATCTGGGGAAATAAATTTTCAAAATTGATCTCAGGAAGAGAAAGAAAATTCCATTAGGACGGAGAGTGGAGAGCTGCGTAAATTATTACTCACGGCGCATTAGGTCTGAAAAGTGTTTGTGGATTTGTGTGGAAATAATGACCCTTGAAGAAGAAGTTATGGTTGAAAAAAATTTGCCATTCCAGAAGGTGATTTTTTTTCTAAATTAAAATAAATTTATTTGATTTCCTGCAATATTTATTGTTAAAAATAATATGAAACATTTTGAAAACTTTTTCGCAAGCGATTATGATAATTCACTCTTATTGTTAGAAGTTATTAATTTTTGAATACAAAAAAAAATAAAATATTTATCAAAGAATTGTATTGCCAAATAGTTGAAAATTCATATAGAATTTGTTCATCATGCTTACTAAAAGCAATTTTAAATGCCATTTTTCTAACAAAAAAAATGCATCTATTATATTCTAATATTTATTTTGCTCATTTTGTTAAACATTATTTTTTAATTTTCTCTTAAACTATTGGTTTTATTAATAATTAATATCTGTTGTAAGTTTATCTAATCTCATCCCTTAAAATTTTTAAGCATTGATCCCTTCAGAGAGTCATTATCAGCCTTTTTGTTTTAATGACCGCCCAAAGCAATTCTTGCGTAATGAGGCGGCACTGGTGGTGCGATAACAAATTTTTCCCTTTTACCCTGAGCCGAGAAAAAAAAATCAGTGGCAATAATATTAACAGCCGCGTGCGTGATAAATCATTTGTAGTAATCGGCAAGAGAGGTTCGCTTCCTGTCGACCAGGGCACACATTACCCTGACAGGGTTCGTGTTTTTGATAAGCCGCAGTTTTTAGAACCCCTCATTAAGGTCCCCTTTGAGATTCTCCGCAGCTTTTCCTGCTCAAAAACACACCGCCGAGCCAGGTCAATTTATAGAGACGGGGAAGCGCGTTATCTGCGCTAAATGCATTTGTCAGCTCGGGCGCCGCGAAACACTTGGATTAAATTTTATGAGGCCCGGCAGGAAAACATAAATAATACCGTGTTGATACCAAATTGACTGCCAACCGTGGCATCTTTATTCTGTCCTTTAACACTTTTATGATGTTTTGCTTTTCTCAACCACAAATGAGTAATGAACTGCAGTGGTCATTATGATAACATAAAATATGAATATTTAGAATTATATTAGTTAAAAATAATTGAAGCTCAATAAAATTATTGCAAGTTTAATTAAAATCGGCATCTACAATTTTTTTTTTATGTACTATAGTTTTTTGTAATTTTTTGTTAATAAGCCAGGTGGGATTTTTACTTTATAAGTCAACAGCGTCTCAATCTACAGCAAAACACGCAAGTTACGTCAACTTGTACCTGGAGTTTGTCGGTGTTTTTGAGATCGAAGGTGCGGATGCTGGCTCCATCTTACCAAAATCATCCACACTTCATCTGGACCACTCTTTCAGACTTTAGAACATGGGTTTATCATAAAATAATAAATTCGTGCTTTAGAATCAAGTAAAAAATAAAAATAATTTGAGAAAAAAATACGATATTTTAAATAAAAAAAATGTAAAAATAATTATCTGACAAAAATAGTAAATATAACAAATAAATTTTTCACCATAATACATAATATTGCAAAATTGATTTGCTAATTTTGACCCAATTTTTTTCTCAATCTGCTTGGACCAATTATATTTAAGCATAGCAAAATAAATTACTCTCAACAAATCAACCATGCGCGTATTGACGATTTACATTTTTGATTGCTGGGATTTATTGATCATGGAGCTGAAAATTCCGGTGATTGTTAAACCAGTTAATTGAAATAAATATTTATGACAAGGCCGGTATGTATTGAAGCACGCGAAAAAGTCACATGCTACCCAGACGACGATCTAAATCTCTTCCGAAAACCAGTTTTTGCTACGGCGCCGTTTTTTGCTCAGCAACAAAAACGCACGTGACGCGCAAACGGTGTGTGCCGCGCAGATCGCGAGGTATGCGAATTGCCACCAGACCGAAAGCTGCTCCTGAGCTGCTCCGTCTATAGCCTTGCTTTAAGTCGTTAGTGCAAATAAGACGAGCGCAAAGACTTGGGCTCTTGTCGAATGCTGCGACCGAGGTATTTGACAGCACACAAACTTTTCTCTCAAGCGGCGGCGGTTCATCTTGATTGTGCCAAAATCTAGGTAAATTTCAATTTTTACTGCTTGCTTTAAGAATTTGGCGTTGGTCAGCGTCAAGGTGAGGTGTACCTTTGTAAGCTCATTTGTATGCTTGCGACGAAATAAACAGATGTTTTGGGCGTTGCAAAAGTATATTTGATTTCTCTTTGTTCCGAGTAGAGTCAGAATCAGCCAAAGTTGGTTTAAAATGTGGTAAAAAGTCTAAACTCACAGTGTGTTTTATGTTATTTAAAAAATTCATGTAAAATAAATATTAACAAACTCTAATTTAAGGGGGGGGGGGGGGGAAATAAAATTTAAAATCTCAAATTTTTAATGAAAATTATTAACACAGATTTAGGCAAAGAAATGGGAAAAATTGCGGAATTAATTTATATAAATCTATTAAACAAGTTTCCAAATTGATTTTATTTATTTTAGCAGATTGTTAACATTTAAAAAAAATGTTAAAAAAAAAACATTAAAAATTGTACAAATTTTTATAAAATAATATTTCACATAAAAAAATTAAAGTAAAATTATGCAAGTAAGTGAGGCCTTGCTTAAAAATCTCTAAAAATTTGCACAAATGATGTCCTTGCAAGGAAATCAAATAAATGTTTTAAAACTTATTAGGGTCATTTCAATTGTTTTTTAACCTTACTGCGCCAAAACAATTTAAATTATATAAAAAACCAATAGAAAAATGGTTTGGAAACCAGAATGTTTTTTTTTTTATATAAAATATGGTCACTTTTCAGTCACTGCCATGGCTGAGAATGGAAATGGAAGCAACGGAAAAAGTTCAGGAAGCTCTGACGGTTCTCCACCTAGCGAAAGCTCTGATCTCCTGATGCCATCAAAAGCTTCCGCAAATTATGAGGCTATCAAAACAGGAGCCGATCTAGAGCGGCAGATTATAGAGGTTGGCACAATAAGAATAATGTTTTACAATTTTAAATGTTGATTTAAATGCTACAGGACCTGCTTCGACGGCAGCCGCAAATGGTCACCACCAACTGGTGGGCAATTTTGCTCACGGTCATTTCCGGTGTGAGCTTCACATGTTCGTCTGCTCTGGTCAAAGGACTCGACATGATCGACCCAATGGAGTTGCTTGCCTTAAGGGCAATAATTCAGCTCATAGCCATCTTCCCTTTTATAATTTACCTCCGAAAAAATCCTTTCGGACCGCCTGGAATGCGGGTCTATATGTTTTTGCAAGTAAAGCAAATAAATAAGTAATTGCTGAGATAAATAATTTACTGATTTTTTTTCCAGGGAATTGTAGGTGGTTTGACACTTGTGACGTTTTTCTTTGCTACCAGAGAACTGCCATTAGGGGACGCCACGACTGTGATGTACAGTTCTCCAATATTTGTTGTGCTAATGTCCTCCGTGTTTCTGAAGGAAGCGTGCGGATTTTTTCGCACTTTCGTCATTTTCTTACTCATGACTGGTGTCATTCTCGTCCTGCAGCCACAAATATTTTTTCAAGAGGTAAAATTTTGAATTTTTAGCAACTTTATTATATTGAAAGCTAAAATCTTCCACACAAATTTATTGTTTTGGAAAAAAATTTTAAATTTAAAAAAAAAACTAATTTCAATTTATTAATATATTATGTTTTAATCCTGCATAATTTTGTGCAATTTTTACGAGCATTTTTAATTGTGCTGTAATTTTGTATATTCAAATTAAGAGTAAATAAATTGTAAGAAGAATAAAAATAAAGTAAGAAGAATAAGTCTGTGTCAGATGATCTGAAACATTTGTGTGGTGTGATCATAACTACTATAGCTTCTGTTTACCACAACTGCACAACAGTACTGCGGTTTGGCTTTATTCGGTATTTTTACCAGGGTAAAAAAAATTACATTTTCATTGATGCCATGCCAACTGCCATGCGGAAAATTATATCTCTTTAATTTTCAGGACGCAGAAAATTGGAACGTGCTCGGATACACCGCCGCTATTCTCTGCGCCTTTTTCACTGGCATCAACATTGTTCTGATGCGCAAATGCAAAGAAGTGCATTTCTCATTCCTTGTTCTGCACTTCAGCGTTTGGTCCTTGGCTATGGCGATTATTTTGGATTTCACGCCTGGGCCATGGGATTTGGAAGGCAATCTTTTAGACTCTGACTACATAGAGTGGATTTTGGCCACCCTGGCTGGAGTTACAGGACTCTTTGGTCAAGTCTTTTTGACCAAAGCGTTGAGCATGGAAGGCGCTGGAAAAGTGGCAGTCACAAGATCTTTGGATATTGTTTTAGCTTTTGCAGTTCAGGTCAGTTAAAAAATTTCACGAATAAAAAAATTATTAAATTACAATTCAGGTATTATACTGGGAACAAATTCCTGGTTGGATGTCAATTTTGGGCGCAATTTTGGTTTGCATCAGCGTCGCCGCAATTGGCACCGAAGAGCAAATCAACCGATTCGCGGCCACGATTCCTTGACTTTTACCAACGTGTTCATGAGCAACAAAATTTTAATTGCATTCCTGTTACCAATCTTTTCAATTTGTAAAATAAACATGATAGTTCTATAGTTCTTAATTAATTACTGCGTGTTAAATTTACTCTTAATACCCTAAGTCAACACACTGGTAGAACAAGTGTTCTAAAATAAAATTAATCCAGTACTTGATAACCTTGATGCTTTGATATAAATCTAAATTGCCACCTGAGCCTTGCTTCTGGGGTTAATAAATCAAAGCACTGTGTTTGAAAAAAAAAATCGTGCGCAGTAACAATTATTCTCTTTCTTGAAAAAACTTCCTTGTAATGCAAACTCGAGGTATAAAGAAAAAAAAAATAATGCTGCTGAACCCACACTTCCTTCATTAGCAAAATAATTTATTTGGTAATTAATTGACAAACTTATTTGACCATTTCAAAGCAATTTTGTTGGCATGTGTTCCCCACGCGTTTTATGAATCCTCTCAGCCTTCTCTCTGGTTTTATATTACTCTGTAATTTATTTGCTTACATTTATACGTGCCAGAAATTTGTTATATAACCCTTTAAGCAGCCACCTAACTTGCAGACCACATGCTTTACGCACCGAGTTATGCTAATTTTGCAAGGACTATTATACTTTCGTTCAAACGTGATATGGAGGTAGCTCGAGTGAAAAAACGCTCACACCCATGCGATGCACAGTGTTGGTGGTGAAAAAAGGCCACGTGAGTTTTGGTCGGGAGTAAAAGGTCCATTTCAGTGGCTTGCTTGTATCCCACTTTTCAGATACCTTTCGTCAGGTCAACTCTGCCGAGAATTGGGCTCCAGCCAGCATACTAAGGAGGTTCATCGCGAAAACAAACATGGGCATTAAGAAAGGTAATCTAGCATTGAGATCTCGTACCAGTGTCGTTGCTACTTGCGTCTTTCCTGTTACGTAACAATACATACTAATTAATTTTGTGTGAAAATGAAATAAGCCATTAAATTTGAAAAAAAAAAATGTAAAACATTGACAGGATTAATTAAGAGTAAAATTTATGAAACTATCTACAATAGTAAGAGCAGGTTCATATTTAAATTTAAAAAAAAAAATTATCGTAAACATAACTTAAATAATAAATTTAATGGAATTAAAATATTAATAAAGACAAAAATTAAGTTTTAGTTCTGTTAATAAAAACAAGCCTATCATATTTTAAAAGATTTAAATCTGGAGCGATAAAATGAAGATTATAATTATTTTAATGAGTATTTTCCAGCATACACAAAAAAATTATTTCACCATAAACCATAACAAAGACTAAAAGTAAGGCTCTCTTCCGCCATGTATAAAGATGTACTTGATCAATGCAATATTAATATAAAGCCTGAGGAAAAATTGTTAAAACTTTGAAAAATAATAATAATAAAACAAAATAATTTTAAGTAAATATACTAATGATTTTTTAATTACGGAGCTAAATTATGTAATGTTTAGAATGGTTAAGTTTATTTATGTAACATTAATGAAAAATTTTAAAAGGTTCATATTTTCAAATTACTCTATAATTACATTAATTTAGCATCTCATGAATCAATTTAAGAACCTGATATTATAATTTAAAAGAGTTACTTCGGCATAGTTATCATTAGAATTCCTGTCATGCTCTCGGATCGCTTTCATTGACATGCATTTCATTTGCATAATTTAATAAATTGTAAGTCTTCACCTATCATCACCCTCATTGGTGTCAAAGTCTTATTTTTTTATTAATTAATGTCACACCAATACTAACTATCCACTTTGAAACAGAATATGTTTCCTTAGCACTTTTTTTTTGCTTAAGCCACATCCAGCCACATCAAAGAGTCACGGGACTCGATCTGTTGCGTTGGAAGCAAAAAATGTTGCTTAAAACTGCCTCTTTTTTTTGCATAAGGAACATTCAAGGCGAAGAAAAAAACTCGACGTCAATTATAACCGTCATGTGATTTTTCCACTGGGAATGTATTTTGTATGCGGCCCAAGTGGGTTTAAACTGACGAAAAGTAGAGAGCAAAAAATCTTGGCCACGATCAACTTTCTATGTGGCGGGTCGGTTTATTTATTCAACCAATTAAGCGATAAAATGTAATGAATTCTACTAGCATGCGCGGTACACGATTTACAATAAATTAAATTAATTATTTAGGATTATAGTGGAAAAATTTTTAAAATAAAAATCTATTATAGTGGTGGACAACAGCAGCTCTCCAAATGGGTCAGCAAGTGAACGAGAATCGTTAAGCTCAGGAAAATCTACGCAGTCTAATTATTCCACAATAGCCGCGGATCTTGAAGTTGCTCGAAAAATTAAAGAAGTAATAATTTTTTTAATAACCTAACAAGTTTGTAATTTTTATCTTAATGATTAATATAGGATCTGGGACCACCTGTGCCATTCCATACGAATTGGTGGGCAATTTTGCTCACGTTCCTATCCGGAGTGAGCTTCACCCTTTCGTCGGGCTTGGTCAAAGGTATCGAGCTCATCAACCCAATGGAGCTGCTCGCCTTGCGGTCGGCGATTCAGATCTTTGCCATGGCGCCGATGATTGCGTGCAAATTAATCAACCCGTTCGGCCCACCTGGTTACAGACTCTACCTGTTGCTGCAGGTAAATTTACTTAATTAATAATTGAAATTCAATACCCGTCCATCTACAGCACATAGAAATTCCAAATTTATTAAAAATGATAAAATAATTTTTGTTTATTTGTTTCAGGGCTTTGTTGGTGGCATCACATTAGTAGCCCTGTTTGTTGCCTTCAGAAAATTGCCTCTTGGAGACGCAACGTCAATAATTTTCAGCGCACCGATTTTTGTGATGCTCATGTCCTTTATTTTCCTCCGAGAACCTTGCGGCACTTTTCGTTTTATAATCGCCTTCCTCCTCATTACTGGAGTGATTCTAGTCTCCAGGCCTCCGTTTATTTTCAACCAGGTAATTTGTAGGCTATTCTTTTTTTATAATTATTTGTATTGTTGGTACAGGGTGACCCTGCCGTGACCTACGACTACGACATTGTTGGGTACTCCTCGGCCGTGCTGGGCGCTTTATTTTCCGCGGTAAACATCGTGTTGATGCGGAAATGCAAAGATGTGCATTTTTCGGTTTTGATCCTCTACTTCAGCGTTGGCTCTTTTGTGATTTCACTCGCCCTGTCCTTCATTGAAGGCCCATGGACGCTCGGCGGCAGTTTGTGGAACACGCCTCTCATCGAATGGGGCTACGGGAGTCTTGTCGGCGTGACCGGACTGCTCGGCCAAGTGCTCTTGGTCATCGCCCTCAATATGGAGGGCGCGGGTAAAGTGGCTGTGACGCGATCTTTGGACATCGTTTTGGCCTTTGTCCTTCAGGTAATCTTTCTCAGGAATTTAATTTTGAATTTATTTTTGTGTGTTTTTCATAGGTTTGTTACTGGGGCCAATTTCCAGACATTATGGGTTCCGTCGGATCCGTTTTGATTTGCATTTGCGTTGCCGCGATGGGGGTTGAAGAGCAGTTCACCCTTTTGTGTCCCGACTCGTGGCCATGCTGTCTTTACAGCTGGTAAAATTTATTATGCCATGAATTTCTGTTTGATCTTAAATAATGATAAGGTTGTCCATAAAAATAACGTTCATTTATTAGATGGTAAGAAAATTATTTTAACAAAAATGAAAATGGTTGTAAAAAAAATGAAGAGAAATTTTAGTTTGAATTTTTCTTTTTATCTAATATTATAAAGAAAAAAATGCTTTTCAACATAGCAAGTGCAAAATGCGCCTTATATTTTACAAATGAACAAGAGTTGCTATGACAAGCCAAATGAGGTAAGAAATAGCAGCGCTGGTTAAATAAATATCCATATTGTGCAACAATGTTATGTCAATTATTAAAAATGTACAACTTGAAGTTATTAAAAAACACAAATTTCAATAATAAAAAAATTATTCTTTTTTGTTTAAATCAATTACTTTTTTTTTAACAAACAACTGCATTTTGCATTATGTGCAACCAATAAAATAGATTATTTTTCTCATTCGCGATCACTTTCAAGTGCCGCGCGTGTAATCAAATCTATGTTGGCAGCCGTCTAAGTAAACAAAGCAGCTCGAGACCCTTCTCTCTGGCTCCAGATAACGGCGAGTGCGATTGAATTCACGGTCTCGTCTTTAGATTGTTGCGCAGACTTGGGGCAGATTCTTCACTGCGCGGGGAATGCGTGCATTTTAATGAGCGCGGGATTATGTTTCACACAGAAAATGTATGCGCGGTGCGCGAGTGTCTCTGAATGAGTGGATGGCAAAATGAGCGTGACGCCGAGAGGCCGCAGGTGCGACGGATTAAAAACCACAGAGAGAAGCGATCGCGGGAATAAGTGGAACACTCTGCGGCAGTCGCTTTGCAAACTCTAGTCGGGAGAGAATGGCTCTACCTGGGGGCCCGCTGCTGCCTCCGCCGCCGCCCCCATACACCACCGCGAAAGATGAGCTCGAGGTGCTGATCACTTCGACCTACATGCCAAATTACTCGTCTACTAGAAAGGGAAGTTCTTCCGATTGCGAAATAAAAACCGAGATCAGGAGGAAGATACTAAAGGTTCGTTCGTTTTTTTTTTTTTTTTTAATTTTCTAGTTTTTTTTTTTTTTTAACAGAGTATATTTTTTTGTCCGTGCCTTGAAATTGCAATCGAAAAAGTTGAAGCTCAAATTTTTAATATTTTACCCTACTGGTTTCAATTTCAAAAGGATTAAATTCAATAATGAGGTGAATGAATCACGTGCTTCGGCGGATCGTAAGGCGCGAATTTCGTCATCAAACTTGCATGCGAGAGGGAGGTCATTTTTTATGCAGCACAATATTACCAATAGCCACAATCTGTCACTTGAGGTTTATAACACTTCATTACAGCGATAATATTTTTCATATAAGTCGGAAAGTCACTTGCTGCGCGCTGTCAAACTGCACTTTCTTGTATCTAACAGCTTTTAATTTATTAATCCTAATGCAAGTTCTTTAAATAAAGAAAACATTATTTAAGTGTGCGATGTTTAAAATATGTAAATCTTTGAGCATGACAAGCGTAAATTTAAGTAAGAGGCAAGTTGGCTCGTCCGGTTTAACTCGATGTTGTATCAGGCCTGAATTATTAAACCTCTGCGCTGCATTAAATTGAGCAAGGTCAATGCTGCGGAACATTGAGTCACACCCAGCATTGTTTTCAAGACGATAAAAAGAATAAACTGAGCCTATTTATTTTTTAAGGAGTAATATTTTAACAAAATTTTAATAATTTAAAATAAGTTTAAAAAAATTTGATGAATATAAAATTTAAAAAAAAAAAATGCAGATATTTTCGTGAATTTTTGATGCATATTATAATTTTTTTTAGGATTTAGGTCCCCCGAGGCCAACAAAGACAAACTGGTGTGCCATACTCCTCGCATTTTTATCAGGTGTGTTTTTCACCCTGTGTTCAGCCCTCGTCAAGGGTTTAAAGTCAATAGCACCCATGGAACTTTTGGTGCTCAGATCTTGTGTCCAAGTGAGCGCAATGCTGCCAATTGTAGCTTACAGAGGGAGAAACCCTTTTGGACCCTCTGGATTGAGGCTCCTTTTAGTTTTACAGGTACTTTTAATTATTTACTAATAAATATTTTAGTAAATAATTTACTTTTTTTATCCGATTTTCGCAGGGCATAGTTGGTGGCCTCACCCTCGTATTGCTGTTCTTTTCATTCCGAAGGCTTCCCTTGGGAGATGCTACCTCAATCATTTTCAGCTCACCAGTGTTTGTGCTTTTGCTCTCTTTCATTTGTCTCAGAGAGCCTTGCGGATTTTTCCGCACACTTGTAGTGTTCCTCCTCGTCACAGGAGTTGTGCTCATTGCACAGCCACCTCTCATATTTCGAAACGTAATAAAAATTTATGATAATTTTTTGTTTTAAAGAAAATTAATATTATTTCAACATATTTTTAACAGGGTTCTGTTGAACAATATGACGGTTTGGGCTACTTGGCCGCCGTATGTGGAGCGCTTTTTACCGCCATCAACATTGTAGTGATGCGTCGATGTAAAGAAGTGCACTACTCGATTTTGGTTTTGCACTTTAGCATTTGGTCGCTGCTGATCGCCGGAATTTTAACGCAAATTCACGGACCTTGGACCTCAGGCGGGCATTTATATTACGCATCTCTGGTACACTGGGGCCTTGCTCTCCTCATCGGAGTCACGGGACTACTTGGACAGGTTCTTTTAGCGCGTGCTCTCAGCATGGAAGGCGCTGGCAAAGTGGCAGTCACGAGATCACTAGATATAGTGCTCGCTTTCATTCTCCAGGTATAGTGTTATTGGCTTAACTATAATTTAAATCTCTACAGCCTATTTTGACACAATGAAATCAATATAAATTTTTCAAGGTGGCGTTTTGGGGTGAGGTCCCCGACTGGAAAGGCGCTCTAGGAGCTGTTTTGGTGTGCGTTTGCGTAGCGGCTATGGGTGCAGAGGAGCAACTTACGCGGGCAGCTGCTACAATCCCATGAGTCTCTCAAATAAAATTAAGCACCTCTTACTTTGATTTAAATTTCTTTTTAGACCCGAGTAATAAAAATTATTATTTATTAACATTGAATTTTTTCGGTTTTTTTTTTAAGAAATTAAAATTTCCAATGACTGAATTGTAAAACTTCAAATAACTTTGTATAATAAAGAATAATATTATTATTCCTATTCATCACTTCAAAGAAAAATGCTTAACTTCTGACCTACCTTGTGATGTCTTGATTTTGTGTTGAATTTAATGGTCTTTTGGGAACACAAAGTTGAATCCTGTTTATTCAATAATCAATATTTCATGTGACTTTGTATAGTTAATGAATAATATACAACCTTTAAAGGACATAGAAGCAATATCGTCTCCGAGAGAAATGCTTTGATGGGTTCCTTCGCCGAGGCAAGTGGAAATTCGGGGTGCAGCAACAGTTCCCAAGGCTCCACAAATGGTCTCAACAAAGGTTTCCACATCTCTTGCTGGGCTGAGTGTTCGTTTAAAATTTGCTTGACGATTGGACAACTTGTTATCAGGTAAATTAGAAATTGATGAGCTGAGAAGTGTCATTTCATCGAAAGGATTTGCTTCAAGCTCCTCATCACTCTCGTCCAGTCTGATAATAGTATAAAATATGAGAATAAAAATTTAATGCATTGTACTTTGAATACTCAATGTCAAAGTTAATTATTGGCATAGGATAGTCCAAAATATATTTCTTCGTAGTTGAAGTAGCAGCGTTGGCATTAGCTACAGGTGGAGAGTAAATTGGACTATATGAAGGACTTCCTATTGAAGACCCATTCTGCTGTGTAGAGGGAGGTGTAAATTCAGTATCCATGGTCTCTGGTTCATCATTAGCTATCTGAGGGTTGGTAGTGTTCACAGGCTGCATGCATTTGTCAAGGATGAATTTTTTCATTGTAGGGCATCCCGAATCATTTTGTTGACCCTACAATATTAATGCATGCCTGCTTAGAGTTGAACATTTCTTGTTTTATAATGCAGATAAATACAGTGGAATAATATAGCCCCTTAAAAATCAATATTTATGCAACCTGCTCAACGCGGCTGTAAACATGACTGCATAAGGTCTTACAAGAGAATTAAATAAATCCTTACCACTTTTCTTCCTAAGGTTTTGATGATTGGAAACTTAGGGACTAATTTGAATTTCTCAAGAGTTTGGGTGCTGATTGAAGGTTTTCTTTTCTTGGGTTCTGCAGCTTTCTCTCCATTGGCAGGAGTTGTTTTTGCGGCCAGGCGCTAACCAAGGGTTTTTTACTTATTAAGACTAATTACAAGATTTTGTACCTTCTTTGCTGGTGTCTTAGTATTTTGGCTTTTTGTTGGCTTTTTTACAACTTTAATTTTGGAAAAATGAAAAATATTTTTTTAATAAAACACCAAATTATACCTTTACTTGAAGGCTCTTCTTCTTGTGTAGGCTTTGCAATCTTTTCATTGGTGGCTCTACCAGGAAGTTCTATCTTGACCACATCCTCTTTGTCAATTCCAACTAAATTCATTTGGTACTTTTAATTGCTTTTAACTTGTTTCTCAAAAATAAAATTGAAAACAAAAATTACCCCATGACTCGCTGACAATATTTGCAACAAGCTCAACTTCACAATTATCTTCGTTTCCCACAATGTCATAGTGAGTTGCAAATGTGTAGGTATTTCTTATAAGGTAAGCATCACTAAAAAAAAAAATGATTTTATAATAAATATTTTGAAAATAATACATGTTCTCTTACGTAATTTTTTCTGAGTAAATAACCTTATTATTTGTCCTATCGGCTAGAAGAAGAAGGCAAAAATGTCTGGCACCAGCAGTTTTTCCTTGACGAAGATTTGCTACATTTGCAAGGCTACATGTCACTTCTAGACTAACAGTTTTTGAATTTATTTTGATGCATTTGAGGTTCAGATTGTAATCTGGAAGACGAGCAGCTAGAGTGATGAAATGGTTGCCTCGAGCTGTGCCGATTCCCATAATCTATGAAGAATAACAATTAACTTTAACAAAATCATGCACTAAAAATCCCCACCCTTTCAAGATCCCTGGGGTTGGAGTCTCGAATGGCTTTGAACGACGTTTTGCCACCTGCCGCTAAATTTTCAGCATACTTTGGGCCGATGCCGTCAAACTGCTTTGCAATCAGTGAAGAATCAGGCCACATTGATTTTTCAATACTCTTGGCCACAAGAAGTGAGTTCAAGACAGATTTGTAATCATCAGCTAGTTTGCACCTTGTATACTCATCAAGGCCTTAAAAATTTAAGATTTCAATTATTCGTAAGTTGAATATCATTATAAAATACTTACAGCGCGCAACTCTTTGTGCAACTCTCAAAATTTTCATCGATTCCTGCTGAAGCGCAATGTCCTGATGGTTTAGACCTCCCAAGGTAGCTTGGATCACCACAAACACTTTCGATTCCAAACTTTGCACTTTACCAGAAATTTTGAATCTGATTGCTTTATTCAGTTCATTCAAAGTGCGTTTTTCCACCACTCGCAGTTGGTACTCTTTAAATTCTTCACATTTTGACAAAACTTGCAAGAATTCTTCAATGCTCATTCCACTGGTGACATTCTAAAATTAGAAAAAGTAAATAATTAAAATCGTGTTCGTATCAATTATAAGCACCTCAATAAAAAGCTTCATGCTCTGCAGGCTGAGGCAGTACTTGGCCATGATCTTTCCTGCGTCAGTAGGCTCTACGTTATTGCCATTCATCACCACAATTCCACAGCTTGACAGTGCTTTCATTTCTTTTAGGCAGATGTCTTTATTTTAAATATAATAAATAAATAAATAACTATTATATTTCATCCAATTGATTCTACTCACTGTTCAGGTGCGTTTCCACTTTGTTATCATCAGGCAGGTTGTACGACTTAGGATGCTTTGTTGCTCTGATGTAAAGAAAAGTAGACCTCAGCCAAGACATAGCCAAATTTACGTTTGTAATAGTCTCCAGAACAACCTCCGCATTCAAGTGCTCTGCTAAGTGCCTGTGCAGTGTGCTCTCGATGGGTTGGTTTCCTCCAATCAACCGCTCGTACTTGTACTAAAACATAATTATTACAATTTTTTTATACATAATGAAAACAACTTGTTAAACCTTTTGATTCTGCTTTGTCATTATCACTGCAGTAGCTGATGTGTCAAATTGGGGCCTCCCTGCTCGGCCCATCATTTGCAAAATTGAACCCTCGCTATATTCTGTGTAGGAGCCCCCAACATACTGCTCTGTAGATTTGATCACCACAAGATGAGCAGGAAGATTCACTCCCATTGCTAAACGGGATTTATAAAGTGATTTATTTTTGGAATATGGCTGGAATATGGTTTTTGCAAACCGAGAGTTGAAGTGGAGACCAAAATTGGGAGAAAGCCATTCCTGAAGAGGTTCTCGACTAGCATTCTGTCCATTTTGTGCATTCCAGCATGGTGTGCGCCTATTCCTCGAATCAGCATATCTAAAATTACCAAGTTATGCATACATTTTCGGCTTCTTAGTAAAAAATAATTTTAGACATTACCACTGATTTTTTTATCAACTAGCTTTTCCTTTGCTTTCTGTATTTCCTGCCTATAACGTGGAGTCAAAGTCAGGGACACCTCTTTGACGAGAACTGACACTGTTTGCGTCACACCTTTCCTTGTGCTACAGAAAATCTAAACCAATTTTTTTCATTAAAATAAATATTTATAAAAATAAATTAATAATACCAGGCTAGGTTTTCCATCAGAGTGTTTGATGAGGACTTCCTTGAGTTTATAGTTCAACTGCATGTCAAATCGAAATGGAGACCATCCAGGTCTGCTGTCGTAGCCATATACAACTTTTTTTAACTTGACTGGCCTCTGGTCCTCAGAAATACTAAAATTATATTATATTTTCTTTTAAATACCAAAATGAAAAAACCGACATTTACCTAAATGACATCGGTTCCAATTTGCTCCTAACTCCAAGCCACTTGGTAATGTCCTCAACATTAGGAATTGTGGCGGACACCGCTAAGAACCTAATGCCTTCTACACCATAAGTCTGTGCCTTGTTTTCAAGCTCCAAGCTCAATTGCACAGTTTTCATTCTGCTTACAACAGCCTCCAAAATAGGGCCTCTTCTGTCCTCATTCAGAAGATGAACCTTTTCCAAAATTAAATGCAAAATTAACTACATAATTTTTTTGCAGTGGTTTATTCTGATTCATAGTGATTGTGTATTTTAATTTTGTAACAGTTATTTTTTTGCAATATTTTAATAAATGCGGGGAAAAGTAGATAAATTATTTTATATACCTACATGAATGTTGCATATTAAGATTAAATCCTAAATTTAAAATATTTACCTCATCGATCAAAATAAGTTTGACATGCTGGACCAGGGCTTTGTTATCCTTCCATCGACGTGTCATCGAGTCCCACTTTTCAGGAGTGGTGAGAATGATTTGGTGCTCACGAAGCGCAGAATTGTACTTCAGCTCCATATCCCCCGTAACCTCAGTGCAGGACAGTCCAAGTGGTCCAAATTTTTCTGTCCAATCGGTTTGTCTCTCAGAGCATAACGCCTTGACAGGAGCCACTGCAAGGGCAAAGAAAAAATATTATCGGCACAAGAATTATGATTTTATGATGAAACCTTACTGTAAACAATTTTATAATCTTTCCAAGCAGGACATTTCTTTTCAATTTGCATCAGCAGCCTCACAATTGCAAGTTCAAAAATTGCAGTTTTTCCCGAGCCAGTCGGAGCAGCAACTACAATCGGTCTATCTACTCTTAAAAAAATTAAAAATATTTTCAGTTTTTTTTTACACAAACCAGAGTTTAAGACAGAATCCAATACACGAGACTGCACAGAGTTGAAGCAAGGAATGCTCTTGAATACAGATCTGTATCGAGGAGCTAAATATCTTTTGTTAAGTAAAATGTGTTATTTTTATACTTAAATTAGCTCACGTAACATTGAAACACTGCAAAGGCTGTTAACCAAAGGTCTAAATGAATTTTGGGTATGAACTTGAAGTATTTTTTCATTTTCTGGCATTTCCATGATTTCGCTGGAATAAATTTTTATAAATTAAATTGTTATTAGTGACTTAATTTAAAAATTTACTTTGGTTCAATGTCAAAGAAGCTTTCATTGGCATCCTCTGAAGATAAATAGCCACTTTCATCAGGATTTTCGGCAAAGGTTTCATTTCGCTGACTGCTGCAGAATAAATCCAAGGATGACGATCCATCAAAAATGTAGTTGTCGTCAAATTCCTCTCCATTTTTGCTGTAATTGGTGTGACGAAGCCTGCTTATGTTAGCAGGACCAAATAATTCATCATCAGGGTATTGTTCATCGCAGTATCCGCCATGAGAAGGTAAGTCTTCTTCTTCCAGTTCTTCCTCTTCATTGTACAAGTCGCTTGCAAGGTTCATGTTGGAAATGGAACTTGCCTAAAAAAATGAAGAAAATACATTATAATTATGGAAGAAATATAGCAATACACAATTTTTTTTAAACATACACAGGAATTTTTACATTATATTAATTAAAAGAATTAAGGAGCGAACAACTATATATAACCATTTTAGGAAATCCCAATATTTCATTGTCTGAATTATCATTCCAGAAATTTCTATTTTCCGTGAGGTTTTGCGAACGCTGGTTTTGCCACATTGCAGTTCTAAAATTATATATTATTATAATAACCCTTGAAAATAAGGAATATTTCAATAAATAATGTGTAGTGTATTTGAACAGTCTAGAAAGGAGAGAGAGAGAAGAGAGCACCGCAGATCTCTGAATCTCTCATCCAGAAATGAAAATGAATGACGTAATATGAACCGCACCGCTATGTACTGTACTCATGTAGCATGCATGACGAGACTCGAGAGACGAGAGAGGAAAAAATAAAAATATTCCTTTACCGCCTAAACTTGCCTAAACTTGTTTTCATGAAAAATTGTCTGACCAATCAAAAATCAAAGTAGTCTCCTCCACTCCCTCTTGTTTCCCCTCCGCGTGTACGCCCCTTTAGGCCCTTTATTTGCTATTATTATTTTGGACCGCAACAAGTGGTTCTGTTCACTCTCAACATTTGCAGTTTTATGCTTTCATTTTAAAATAAGGGTAAGTTTATGTCATTGCCATTTGCCAGGGTTCATTGCGTATATATGTACATTGTGTGACCATTTGACGATAAAACCTGGATGGATACATAAATTCCAAGACACTCGGATGTTTACTTTTATATTTTTGGCGTATTTACAAATGTACAAATCTTAATTATTCTTGTTATCTTGCAGTGAAACATTTTTTATCATCCGCATATAATATGCCCTTGAACTCTAATCTCGTTGGAAAGTTGTTTGACTCTATGGAGCTGAAAGAGAAGGTCAGCGCGAAGACGCCCAATACATCTGGGGACGAAAAGCTTGAAGTATGATTTATTTAATTTGTTTTCCTTTTATTTTTATTTTTATTGAATACCAATTTAAGATATAAATATATATTACTTTAAAATTAAATTTAATCGTTGCATAATTTTTAACAAAATTAATTGATCTTTTTTTTCAAACCGATTTTGCAGTGGGTTACTAGAAACGTGACTAAAGTCTATGTATGTAAATTTTCCTCTATTTATTTATCATCTGTGTCATTATGTATGTTGTTGATCTAAATTGAAGTTACTTGGAAAAATAGACTCTAAAGTTTATTGGATATTTGTAATGGTTTATGCATTGTTTTGTCATGGGAGTGCCAGTGCAAATTATTTAATTATTAGCCAACAATAATTTACCTTTTTTTTACTTCGCAGACCTTGAGGCAAAAAGTTACATCGAGCTTTGTCAATGGACAGTGGCTGTGCCCGGAGCCCTTAAAAAAAAGCCCATGGATTCATCAAGAAGCCTCGTTTGCCGATAAGCCCTACTGGCACAACTACGAATCCCTGGGCCAGTGGTCAGGCTTGCCTTCTGAGATCAGAAAGCAACACCTCAGAGAGTATGTGGTGCCCATTTCTAGTTAGCCAGGAAATTTAATTGTACATTATTTTTCTAGTGTTGCTGAGCTTTTTTCCAAGAGAGGTTCGGAATTGGTTGAATTTGAGGAAGCCTTGTATGCTGCACCAGCCGAGACTCTTTTGAAAGAAGTTTTGCCCTTTTTAGTCGAGTACTGGCAGTACTACAGTGGTTGGGCTGCTTTAGAGGACCCTCAAAACAGGCAGTACTATGCATCAGGTTTGATTAAAAAAATTTAATGTTACCCAAATTTAAAATTGTCATTTAGGGAGTGTTGTGATTGATGTCCGCCAATCCAAATTCCCCCTTCTCGAAGCCAGCTTTGCAGCAGCACCTGCTTTGGCTGCTGGTTGCGTGATCACTGTATTGGGTCACAGGAGACTGGAGTCGCTTCTCTATCTGGCTTCTTTGGCAAAGTACTAGAAAAGTATAATTATCTCGCTGCCTAACATTTCTTATTCCAGGTTGCCAGCAGGTGTATTTAATGTGGTTGTAACTAATGGGCCATCAAACCCACCTGAAGCAGTTATTGGTCGTCCCGTGGCTGTTTTTGGGCCCATCAAAACTACCAAAGAGAGCGATGAACTTTTCAACTCAGAGTCCACTTTCTGTAATTAAGATGCTTAATTTATATTTAATTTTAATTTTTATTCCTAAAATTTAATATTGCAGATTTACGAGGTCGTTCGAATATGCTCATAATGAGCCATGCAGACTTTGAAGGTGCAGCCAGGGCCCTCCTTCATGAAACCACTAAAAGAGCAAATTTTGTAAGACTGCATATAATATTAACAACTGAAGTCTTATGATATAATTTCAGAGCTTCTGGCCAGTGAGTGAGGTGCTTGTCCAAGAGCACTTGTACCAACCGTTTGTTTCTTACTTTCAAAAATTGTTCCCAACCGAGCCAATCAACTCAAAATCTTGGTCCGACTCTGCAATCAACAAAGTGCGCAAATTTGCGAATGATGAAGGACTGAAGGTTTGCCTTTTCAATTATAAAATATAATGCAGCAATTTCAAGATGTTTAAATTTTGCAGCTACTGGAAAGCTCGGAAGCTGTGATCCTAATTGGCGGTCGATTTGAAGAACCGATGTTATCAGAGTTTGTTGAAGATGGACCTTATGTTGTTGGTCTGCTGCCAGTGAGGTCACTGAATGAGGCAGTAACTATTGTTAACAGTCGGCCAAGGATTTTGAGTGCTAGTGTATGGACCCAAGATGGACCTCTTGCATCACAAGCAGCTAGTGGAATCAAGGTAATTTATTTTTTTGTTTGAGATTTTGGTTTTAAAATTTTTGGCAGGCTCCGATTGTTTGGATCAACCAACATGGTAAATTGCCCAGTCCATCAAGTGGAATCGGATCAACAATTTACTCTGGATTTGGACAGTGGGGTGGAAAGAACGGTGTGCAAAATATCGAATAACATATTTAATTACTATTATTTAATTTTTTATTCATTTTACACTTTAAAGGTTTACTGAATTTCAAACAGTGGAGGCCGACTGTTTGTGACAAAGGGGCCCACCGATTTGAGTCAAAATGGTCCGAAAACGCAGATTCTTCTTTGAGACGATTAGACATGTTTGTCAACGGGAAAATTCTTCAGGCAGCTTCCGCAAAGGTGCTCATTGGCCGCAATGAGAAGCCCTTTGCAACAGTTGGTTTGCCTAACAAGTATATTGAATTTAAAATATATAAAAAATTTGATTAAATTTTAATAAAATTGCAGCAAGGAAGTTTCAACTGCTGTTTCTGCTGGTTTAAAAGCATTCCAGTCTTGGTCAGTCTTTAGCCAACCATCAAGAGCAGATGCGCTTGAAAAATTGGGAACCGCCCTGGCCAAGTCCGAGGTGTCGTATGCAAAACTTTTGAACGACTTCGGAGTTGAGGGAGACAAGATTGCTGCTTGTGAATGCAAGGCATCTATACAAGCCCTGACAAAGTGGTGTGCAAAAGCCACAACAAGCCAGGTAATAAATTAAAAAATACTAAAATCTTATCTTGTACCGTGTCAATTTTTAATAGGTCCTTGAAGGTCACATCGAGGGCAAATGCTCAACTTATCCTGTGCCCGTTGGAATAGTTGCTGTGTGTGGGCCAATTGACAGCCTGAGCGCTTTGATTTCTCTCATTACTCCTGCTCTGTTGGCTGGAAATTGTGTTTTGGTGAGTGCAAGTCCGAGGGACGCTCTGGTTGCCCTGCACCTTGCACAAGTCGGATCAGCTCTACCAGCTGGAGTTTTGAACGTCGTCGGACCTGGTGCCCAGGCTGATTTTGCTGCTCATCCTGAAGTAGGAGCTGTGTGGGTGGGCTTCCGAGATGTCACCAAGCTGGTATCCGACCGCCCCAAAAAGGTATGGAGAGTGGATTGGGCCTGTCTCGACAACTGCCCCGATGAGTATTTCGTGCACAATTGCACCTCATGCAAATCAGTTTTCTCTGCTGATTAAATCCTCTCCAAAATGTCAATTATAAAGGTTGAGGGGCAGAAAATATTTTTTACTCTTGCTCTTTTGTAGCCCAGTAATGTATTGACGTTTTTATAACAATTTTAAAACTTTTAAAACCGAGGTGTTTAACACACAAAAATTGTGCCATATTATGAAGAGTTGTCGCATTAAAATGCAGATCGTTATTGTTTATTTTGAATAAATTTTATTTTTCCCACAGTCAATAAGTAAAATGTGTGTCAATTAAGAGATGCAATTACATAAATCACTAAAAAAATTCTCCTTTAATTTTGCCATCAAGGCAGTAGTAAATACAATATAAAAGATAAACATATTATAGAGAGTAAAAAAAGTTCTCTCTTTTGTTAGTAAAGGCCAGGCAAAGGCAGCTATCAAAATATTAGGTGGCAGACAGGCCTAAAATGTTACTTGAAATGCCCCTCTCTGGATCACTGATCGGGATCTACAAAAATACCAAAATCTCATAATCATAATCTACTATAAAAATGAGTATTATTTGAGCTCGGTGTCACGGTTTTGAACTCACAAATCAATTCTCCAATGTACGCAGGGTTTGCTTCCCAGTTCTGCTCGATGTTCCTGATCAATCTAGTAATTCGGTTGGCTAGATTTGTTCTTTCAACATTCCCCATTCGCAGCATGTTTCCACGCTTCTCCCAATAGAAAGGGAGAAAGCCGTCCTGCAGGTATTTTTGGATGCCTCGAAGCAGCTGTAAATTAAAAAAGAAAAGCTTTGTGCAATTATCATAACAAATTTAAAAATACCTTGATGAAAGCCAAGTCAGTATTATCATTTTCACTCAATTCTCCACTCTCCTTCATCCAAAGAGCTGCATTTTTGATAGCATAGCTGTAAAGACTTTGCCAATTTTGCTCGTCTCGCAGTTTCTATAACAAATTTTTTTAATGTAACCATCTATTTTGAAAAAAAAATTAGTTTTACCTTGATCAACTTGATGGCAGGTTTAATCCTTCCATAATCACGGATGATATCTTTTTCAAATTGGTAAAAGGACACTCTCCAAGCATCGGAAATGCTCTGCTCATTCTTGAGTGGCTTCGGTACAATAAACCAGCTCTAAAAATATTAACCTGTTTAAGTTTTCCAGCTATGCACAGGTTATTGGATGATGCATGCATATCACAAAATTAAGAATATAAAAATTAGGAAACAAAATCTTAACCATCTGAGAAGAGTAAAATTGTTTGCGCAAATTGATAGAATAAGAAGTTGATCTATTGACGTAATTTTTATAATTATTACTCTATTCAAAGGTTTTGGAGTCCTGATAGGATGTGGTGGTGGCGTAATGAAGCCAAAGACTGGCACAACATCAATCGATAGGCCGCCAATCTCCAATGTCATTGCAGGCCCAGATTTTTTTAAATGAAGTTGCTATTCGTGATAAATAATTAATTATAATTTTAAAATTACTGTTGGTGGTTTTATACTTCATTAATAGGTTTTCCAACATTGTAGTTGTTCACAAACTTGGTGGTAATCCCTTCCATCCACTGCCTGACTTTATCTTGCAACAGGTTACCAGAGGGATCTGTCCACCGTGCCAATTCACTGGGTATTTTGTAAGTTTAATACTAAAAGCTGTTGGTATTTCAAAATTATCATACGTATATACTGGTGGCTGCCATTTAGGGTCTGCTTTGATGCTCTCCAGTGCTTGTCCGTAGCCTTTCACAGTCACAAATCCAGGCTGATCATTTCTCGCAACCAACTAATTTTAATATTGAAAATAACTATTTGTTCGCGAAAAAAATTGTAACCTTAAGTTTCTTTTCATCAAACGGAAATTTGAAAACAATGTTCAGGTCAAACTCGTCTGGCTTAGAAATCTTCAGACCCTCATAAAAACTGCCAGTCCATTGTATTTCCTTGTAGATCATGGCAAACAGCTTGCTTTCAGCTTTCAATCCATTTACCAAGTCCCTCTTAACCTAATAACCGTCAAGTTTTAATTGTAATAATTTTAGCTGAGCTATTTTTTAGCATACAAGTTGATCAATAAACTGATTAGTTCTTTTGATCTCATCTTCTTCAAGACGCAGTTTTCTTAGAACTCGTTCAAGAACTTGTACGACGTTTCCAGAGTATCCCGATATTCTCAAGTTCTCCAAATTTGGAAGCTCTGCAGCTTGTGGCTCAGCAGGCGCTGCCGCAATACCTCCCATGGCTCTGTCTGTAAAATAACAAGGAATTTTTTCTTATCTTTAAAATAATTATTTTTATCCCCAGACTATCTCATAAAACAGCAAATATATACATACTGCCAATATAATGTGGTAAAAAATGCAGCTAAATACAAGTTTGAAAAAAAATTATAATACGTTATTAAAGTCTCAATCAAAATTTTTGGCTATAATTTAAAATAAACCACCGCCGAGTCTATAAATTGAATAATTTTTTTCATTTTCGCGAGCGAATTATTTTAAGTTGGAAATAAGATGTGATTTATTATTCAGAGCAAAATTTGAAATTAAAAAAATTATAAATAATTACCACAATGAACCTCGTTTGTTTCGATTCTGCATAAAGAGTTGCTTTTGTTCTTGGCTTTTTTCTTTGCTTTACCGAGTGAAAGTCCAAAAAATGAAATGATGAATAGCAGACTGAGCAATCCGATTCCAGTGAACAATCGCATATCTCTGTTTAGCTTTCGTGAATAAGCAACTAATTTGAGACTTGTGTCAAATTCAGGCTCCGCTTTTGCCGCTCGACAATTTCTTTATATATCTGGAATTTAAAATGCAGCGACAATGTAAAATCTCTCTTACCACGAAGCGCCTAAATATCACTTTTGAAACCAGCAATTGGAAATTAATGGCAGTCTGCTTTCTTTATCAATTTTTGGTAATGCTCTAAACTCAAGACTCAACAAGATGACTCTCCCACTTTATGTAATGTACACGCATATAAGGCCTTGCAAAAAATGAGTGTGCCGTGTTTGCGCATACAAAGGAGACAGGCGCGTTAAAAAGAAAGATTCAAGCGGGAGATTTTAACTCTTTCACTCTCCATCAATATAATATCATTACCAGTGTTTTTTTTTTATTATATTTAAAAAATTTCTTAATCGGATCTTAAATTTTTTTTGTCAAGTTTTAAATTTCTTTCTATTTTTAGAAGTTAACACGTAAATTTCTATACAATAAGCTGCACGCTATGATAAAAAAAATATCAGTAAATTCCTAAATTCTCAATTTCAAGGCGCCAAAAGTGCTTGTTTTCGTTGGAATTTTCAGGAAAATGATTAGATAAGAAATAATTCACTTATAATTTAAATGCTGCAAACAAAAGATAAAAAAAATTAACTGCAACGACTTTTGGATTCCGCCAAGTTAATCTTTTTTTGCATCACAAAAAGATATTAAGTGTGTAAACTTATGATAAGTATTAATCTTAAAATTAAAGTGATAAGTTATTTTAATTGATGCATTTATATTGTAATTATTATTTTAGACGCGGTAAAATTAAGACCAAGTAAGAATTAGAAATTTAAGTCCAGTTATTTTGTAAAAATATTTTCACCAAGAGTGTATGTAATAGTGTAATATATACCACATCAAACCAAATTTAAAAGCTGTATTTTGGACAAAACATACGTGGCTTTTTAAAATAAAATCACAGATCAAGGGAAGGGATCCAAACAACATCCCGACCGGTTTTATGCTAACGGAACCATAAATTCAATTCACTGAAGCAATTTCCTCTAACTGAAAACAGGTCTCTTTTCAGTGACTCTATAAAGATTTTAAAAAATTGTATCTTGTAATATAATCACCATTATCAAGCATGCATTTACACAGTCTTATTCGAAATTAGCCTTGCTATACCTTTTAATCGGTTAATTCATTAATTGTAATTAATTTTGCTTGATTTTAGTATATGTACAGAGTAATGACAATGAGACTCATTCTGCACTCATCGTAATTATTTTTTATACTATTACCTGATTGCAATAAGTGTGTCGAACAAAGCAAACAAAGTATGCACGTGGACTTGATCTTTGATAGTAAATTGATGGATTGATTTAAATTTCTCATTTTATGTGACCTCTTATTAAATATTTTTCCTCTTTGATACGAAAGGAGTTGGGTGTGTTTTCAGTCAATTTGTGCAAAAATAAAGAAAATAATAAAATAAAAATAAGAAATATATCCAAATTTTATAAATTACGTAAATATAACACTTAAATTTCATAATATATTAAATAAAAAGCACTATCATTTAATTAATTAATTAATATACCTTCTGCAGTGGAGAGATAAGTCAGTAACTCCAACAAACTGAAGACAACTAAATTATGTTTGCAGCGTGAGATCGAAATCAGCCTCCTTTGCGCTGTTCTTCTGATTGTTCCGCAGCCCGCAAATAAGAGATAAAAGAGGGTGGAGTCGAATATCAACTTTGAAACTGTTGCAAAAGCTTCATCCGTCTCTCCTATTTATTCTCTCTTTCTCTCCTCTGTCTGATCAGAATTGGCGGATCGCGCCCCCTCCACTGATTTCTTTTAGGCTGTACTTTTTTTAGCAGCGGTGTCATTGCATGACTCGATTATACGTTTTCCTTATTACTCGTTTATTTTTTATTTTTGTTCGCTTCATCACGGGGTGAGGCATGCGTAAAGTTAGACTGGATTTTGATAGTTTTTTTTGGCGCCGGTAGACTGCAGAGCCCCCTATAGTCTCTCCTCTGCCCCCTCTCCTTCCCTCATCAGCTGTGGTCATCCTTTTCATCCCTTTGAATGGGCGCCAAAGTTCATCCAAAGCAGACGTTTATGACTGATTTTTATATTTTCCAGCTGTAAACTTTGTCCAGTGTGATGGAGCAAAGCTTCAGCCAGCGTGGTCTTCGAATGTACTTCGTTCGGCAGTCGGAAGAGCCGTCAAAATGTTTCACCGACGCCTTCCAGGTAAAAAAAAATTGAATTTTTGTAACGCGGTCTAGAAGCCCGACCAGCTCTTTTCAATCTAGAATTTGCACTATGTTTCATTTTCAGAGTTGTCAAGACAAATTGATACACCCGCAAATGCTAGACGAAGAAGAGTGCGAGAAGTTGCAAGTCGACCGGAAAGTTGTTTTGGTTTTGGAAAAGTTCGAAGGCCAACTCTTCCACCGACTTTTCACAGAATCTTCTCCATGCACGTATGTTTTACTATACAAAATACAGATCTGTATATCACAATATCCTTATTATTTGGGACAGTATTTTGGGAGCGCCTTGCGTCCAGCAGTGTTTGAGCAAAGGCGAGCCGACTCCTGAGGGACCTTATCCAGTCTTTTCGTTGGCCATGCAGGGCCTTCGAGTTTGCTTATCAGGATTCAAACCATCGCAGAAAGAGGAATTGGCCAACAAAGTGCGCTTCATGTGCGGCACATTTGAAAAAAATCTATCCACTGACGTAAGTTAACGAACCTAAATTTAGAAACGCTTTGATGTAAATTTGATATATAATTCAAGGTGACACATTTGGTGGCTGAAATGACAAACACAGAGAAATACTCTGTCGCTGTTGAGAACAAAATTCCAGTGATGTTGGAGACTTGGGTCCATGAATCTTGGGAGACCAACCAGACAAACCATCTTTCGGCACTTGACGACCTTCTGATTCGACTAAAATGCCCTCCATTTTTAGGCCTGATAATTTCAGTCACACAATTCCCCAAAGCGAAGAAGGAGAAAATTAGGGCAATCATTGAAAAGCATGGTAAACTATAGCAAATTTACAAAATAATTAATAAAATAAACGCAAAATATTTTAGGTGGAAAGTACAGCCCAGATCTGACAGCACAGGAGACGGATGTTCTGGTTGTGTCGAACACTTCGGGCGAAAAATATAGAGCTGCCAAAGAGTGGAAGATTCCTTGCGTGTCAGAGGCCTGGGTTTTGGAATCCGCTAAAGCAGGCCACTCTCTAAATTTTAATTCTTACGCAGTCAAAGCACCAGCCAAAACTTCCACTCCTGAAAGAGATGCATCTCGTAATTATCTCTTGTTCTTTACCTCACAAAATCTCTCAATGTTTTAATCTGATAGAAATGGACATTTCCATGATCAGCACTATTGCTCATGAAGTAGCAACTCGCAACCAAGCTACTAAAATCAATGAGACCATGGCATCAACTGTCTCGACCATGTCTTTTGCTGAACCTTTGCCACCCGAGAGGAGAGAACCACCTTCCACCCCTGAAAAGGAACATGACGCCACCATGAAAATCATGAAACTTCCACTTGCTGAGGTTTGAAAAAAATTTGTTAAAAGCTCAATATAATACTGAAATTTAAAACTTGAATTCTCATTAAAATAGAGACTTTTATAATAATAAATAATTTATGCTCGTATTAATTTTTTGCACATTTCAAATAGGTGCGCAAAGCTGGACCTTTCCTGGATGGATGCAAAATCTACGTGTCTGGTGGTTCTACTGCCTTGCAAGACAAATTGCGAAAGATGCTGAACAGCAGCGGCGCCACCCGCTTTGATGAAATTTCTGAAGGACTGACCCATGTCGTCCTGGCTGGTCAGAGTCTACGTCCAGCCGAGGCTCAAGCTCTAGCCCAACGAAGCCGTAAGCCACCCATCGTCCCCCTCAGCTGGCTTATTCGAAGTTTCGAACTCAAGCACCCTGCAGAGGCTGTTGGTCAGCAAGGGCCGGAACCACCCTCGCCTCTTAGTAAGAGGGGAATGCAGATGTTCAAGTCTCCCCAAAAACTTATCATTTCACCCAGGTTTGTGTAATTTTTCAATTATTTAAAAATTCAATTTAGTTTTTCTTAAAGATATCAATGATGTGATGGTAATACTATTTATTATTATGCCAGAGTTTTCATCTCCACTCTTTTATTTTTGAAATTCATTATTCTGTCTTTTAGAACTGCCAAAAATGACCTAGCTGTTGTGCAGCAGTATCTAGATGATGATATGCCTGTCCCTCTCCCTGTGGATAATGCTAAGAACGAAGAAGAAGATGACGAAGAGGAACTAGCACAGCCAATGGCTGCACTCGGCAACGTCAAACTGCAAATCAAGGACCTGACCAAGACTGAGGCAGCCTTAGTTCGTCATAAAGCTGAGTCCATGGGAGCCAAATTTGTGGACAGCAACGCTGACTACATCATTGGACCTTTCAAAACACAGGCGTCCAACCCCAAACAAGTGACCCAGTACTGGCTGGAGGAATGTGATGAAAAAGGCGAGACAGTGCCAATACAATACTTTCACAGGCCAATTCTACTTCGTCCGAAAAAGCCTTTGAAAGGCGTTGTGATCGCCATCAGCTCATATGGTGGTCAAGAGCGAGCCTACCTATCAACACTGGCAATTGAACTAGGGGCTGTGTGAGTAAAAATCTTAAGTTATAAATTTGATTTATTTTTATTTCTCAAACCATCAGTTTTTTTATGAAGTACAAAAAAAATTTGTTTGCAATAAAATTGGATATTAATTTTTTGTTTGTTTATTTTCATATATTTTGATTCAATTTAATAATTAAGATGTTTGCAATAAAAATAAATATATTTTTTATAAATTTCTGTAATTTTCAGCTATCAAGATGTGTTTGCCAAGAAACCAGCACCTGATAGAAATGCCATAGCTTCTACCCATTTGATTTGCCCAACGCCAGAAGGCTCTAAGTTCAAGGCTGCAACCAAATGGCACCTGCCAGCTGTGACAAAAGACTGGCTGCTGCAGTGCAGTGTGTCCAACAGTCACCTTCCGGAGGAACCATTTCTTTTGACCGGACCAACTGCCCCTTCTCCCTCTGCCTCAGTTCTTTCTGCTTCGACTTCTTCCATTCAGAAAGATGACCTAGTAAGATTTGTGATTTGAGAAATAATAAATGTGTAATTTTCTTGCTTGAAGGATGTTGGAACGCCGGTTCGACCACCTCCAAACATTGATGGCTTCAAAACTCCCTTCAGCCCAGCAACTCCAGTTCTCGTTCAGGACAACAAACTTATGGACGCAGAACGCATTTCAAGATTGTCTCTTGCAAGTTTTAGGAGGGAGGTGGATAAGTTGGACCCTGGTTATATTTCCACCCCTGAAACACCCTATGGTCAGGTCAAGAGTGATGATCCTTCACCTACTACGAGGAAAGCCTGGAAAAGATATCTCAATTCCATTCCTGACTCAAAGCGTGTTACTGACGATTCTACTGAAACTACGGTTAGTGATATCTTGACTATTTTGTAATTGTCTTTACTTTTTGTGTGAAATTTCTTAGCTGGTTAGTAAGAGAGCTCGAGTAGATGACCTGGGGGATGAAAAATTAGGGTCAACTGACGGCGCTGAAGTTACCATTGACATTGACCTTGATGATAAACTTCTGGAGGTTTGTAAAATAATAAATTGGAACTGTAAATAATCTGATTTGTTTTTATATTTACAGAACTATAGCAGCCAAAAGAACGTACGAAAGTGCGAAGACCAAAACAAAGAAAATGAAGAGGTTCCGTCAACTTCGGCTCCATACCCAACACCCTTTGAAGATGAAGATAATACTCTACAGGATGTAATGGATGATGAAGAAGAGGAAGAAGAAGAGGAGCCTGCAGAAGAACGGCCTGTTTATCATTTTATGCTGACAGGTTTTGCTGAGAAGGATCTGGACCAAATACACAGAGTTGTGAATAATCTCAATGGAAAAGTTTCTGCTACAAAAATGTTCGACCCCGAGGCCACTCACCTGGTGACTAACGCGCCAAGCAGAAGTGAAAGATTGCTAGGAGCAATTGCAGCTGGTCTCTGGATAGTTCATCCACAATTCCTGCTGGAGTCGGCCAAAGCCATGGAGTTTCTATCTGAGGAAGATTACGAGTGGGGAAATCCAAAGGCCGCTGGTTTCTTGGAGCCTCAAATCGCGGACAGTCCTTTGGCCCAAGAGTTGGCAGCTGCCTGCTACCGTTGGAGGAAGACTGACAAAAAGGGCGCCTTCAAAGACTTCAAGGCAATCTTACTTGGAGCCCCACAGAAGACGGCTGCTTTCGAACGCATGATTATTGCTGGTGGCGGAGAAGTTGTCCCTTACAAGTAAGTTTTGGTTCAAAATTAATGGTAAACTCAGTTTTGATTTAAAATTTGTCCAGAGAGGAGAACTTAAGTGGGGTGACCCACTGCTTCATAGATGTCAACAGGGTGAATATGGACTTGAGTGCTTTGAGGTCTGCAAACGTGCCATGCTACAACCCTATATACTTGAGTGATTACCTCATCAAGAACCCACTTCCAGATTCGAGTGTTCATCGCATCTAAAGGGAAGCTTTGCATTGTTTTTTTAAATCCTTCTTCAACTACTTTTATGAAATTTCCAACAATCCTTAATTTATACAAGATTCTCTTAACCTAAGTAATTTTTTTTATCACTAACCAACTTTGAAAATGCTGTATGGTGGTGCAACATCTCAAATGTTTATTTTATATAATAAAGTGGGACCATAATATATTTCATCGTAGTTATACGCATAATTATTCTTATCGATTAAACAATATAGATTTTTTCACAGCTTCAAACATTATAATCAGGCCGCAAGGAATTGATCCATTTTTATTTGTTTTTCTTACACTTGACGACAAGCGCCACGTGCAGCGCGGCTCTGGGTAGAGCTAGTCACATTGCAGGATGCATGCCATGCCACTCAGATCAATATAAGCACTTATTTACTCCAGCGCACCAAGTACATTTTTGTTCGACCGAAGGTTATTTGTAGCATTTCAAGAGGCCCTCTGTCTCGGTCTAAAAAGTAAAAAGGCTTAAAGAACAACATTCACTATTCAGCCACAACGCGGGTCTCCTTTGACTTGCCAATAATATTGCTTTATTCCTGCGCTTTCAAACGACAGGCGAACGATGAACTGCAGCAAACTGCTGCCACTTTGTTGCTCAAATTGTGTTTACACTAAGATTTCCACCGCGAAAAGTTTTATTTTACTGATTTTACTGAATATTTAATTCATATTTATCTAACGAGAATTGTTAAAAAAAATTTAATTTTAGTAGTTGTAAAATTTTTAACAATCATATTTGCTTCAATTTTTATTATTATAATTTGTAACAAAATAATAATAATTTTAAACTTGATTTACAAACTGAAAAACGTGCAAAATAATTCACGAGCTTTATGTGCATCATGAATTAGGAAAGTTTGCCTGAAGTTGGGGCGAATTCTTGACCTCGGGGGCCGTGACTAGAGTTGGCGGGCTACGGACGCCGTAAATTGACAGGCGTGCTCTGCTCTTTCCATGCCCGGCAGCAGCAACTCTCCAGGATAGTGACAAATAACATCGAACGAGGTCTCCAGGGCGTGCTTCGGCCAACTTGATACGGGCCGCGTAAATGCGGTGCAAGAAGTGGATCGAGCTTTACTTCGAGGGGATGAAAAATGATTGCTCCTGATGAATGTGACACGCTGCAGGTGCAATGATTTTTGACAAGACCCCACTAGCAGTTTATATCCATCCATCACTGCCTCTCTATTATCCAATCGCGCGCCCACTTTTTCCAGAGTCCGTGCTAATAAATAAGCGTCAGAGTAAATAAGACGTCGAACACTGTGTATAGATTCAACCCTTGCTCGACGCGGGGCTGCATTACACACGTCGGCTGGTGTTGCTAGTAATTTCGGCCCGGTGACAGCAGGAAGTGCGCCGTCTTTGCAAAGATTACCCTCGACACGCGCGCGTTCACCCCTGCGCTCGTTTAAAATGCTTCTTCGACCGTGTCATTTGGGGAGGTCGCGCTAAACCCAAAACGCTCCAAAGTTTACTCAGGTGGGGTGGAAAAAAATATATGCTTTTTATTAAAAATAAAGATTGCGAGAGGAGTTATTTCAGTGGGGAAAAAAAAAAACACGGAAAAGTTCTACCAAGAGCTGTAGATCTACCTTCAGCAAATGCTTTAAAGTGCACTTTTAATTTATCAGGAATTTAACATTTTGTAATTATTCTGAGAGTTGCTAAAAAAGTAATAAGTAGTATTTCACACTGTTTAGAACTCATTTTGATGGGGGAAAATTAGATTTAAAGGGTGGTATAAGGACGCAACGAATAATTTATATTCATATAGCCGCCGAGTCGTCTAAATTGTAATTATTTTATTTTATTTAGTGACGCCATTCTTACTAAATCATACTGAAAATTCAAGTATTTCACTGTTTAGAACTCATTTTGATAAAAAAAAATATATGTTAGAGTTGACTTATCAATTAATTTAAAAGTCAAACGTTTCCAATTTTGCATACAAATAAAAAAATAAAAAAAGCAGTCATAATTCAATTTTATAATTTTATCCCTTTGATTTCCTGTCAAAAGGAATTATATATTTAATTTCGCAAAAAGATTTTAACAATTCTCATAAAGAAATTTAATAAAAAATTGGAGCTGTCAAGAGTGGCTGTAAAACGCAGTAAACAAACAATGCCGCACTTATAATTAAATTTCCATTACACTTGTCCTCCTTTTAAGAGAAAGGCTGCAGTTAAAGTGGTACGTCCGGTGCCGAGTAACGAAATTTGCGCGAGCAACAAAAATGAAAGCACCTCACTCGCTGCCGGTCGGTGTAATGGAAAATCGCTGACTGCATCGAGATTAAAGAGGAAATAGTGTCTCTAGCCGGCTCTTGGATATATTCGCACGGCGCCGCCGTTAATGAGCAAATTTAATTCTCTTTGGCATTTTGGCGGGTCAGCGCAAAGAGCACTCGCTGTAAATCACATTTTATACTCGAGCCTGGGCCAAATGAGATTTGCTTTGCGCTTGCACGGTAAAAGCAGCCTCCAACATCCGGCTCTTTTTTTACAAGCACGCGCCGGCCGGCCGATTTTCTCGAATTCGCCAGGGACCTTCGTTGAAACGTTTTGTATGAATTTCTGAAGAGCTCGTCTTTTTGTTTCTGCAGTCGGCTCAAGACGAGTGTGCCGCGCCGTCGTCTGTTATTCTGGTGGCAAAAAATGTGCCGGCAAAAGGTACCACCTGTGTGCTTAATAAAAACAAAAGTCTCCGTCTTTGTTTTTGATCAATACATATACTTTGCATAGACCAGAAGCTTTGCCGAGGACCGATTTGTTCTGTCAAAGCTGGAAACGCGCACCAGCCGAGTGGAGGGATGGGTGACTCTGACAATGCCCTTTAACATTTGGGTCGGTCGGTCCCACAGGAATGCTCGTGGTTGATTTGGCTGTGCTTTGTGAGGGTTAAGCAGCGTGTGCGAAGCAACATGACTAATTGAAATTTCGCTCTATGACGATTTCTCATAGCTGCTCCTATGCCCTATAATTTATTATAATTATTTGTACATGGATCTTTTTTCTAATGAAAGCTTTAAACTGCAGGATATTATAATTTTTACTTGAAAATAGACACAAAAATTATTTAAACCATTGCTAGGTTAAGCGATTTATACATGAGATTTTTATTTGCAATGACAATGAATATTTTATAAAATTTTCATACATGCGATCCTGATTTCAATTTTTCACCTGGCTTCTCCGGTAGACATTAATTTCTACAAAAATGGCAGTGGCCTTTACTCTCACCTCTATATAATTTTTAGAAACTATAATATGCACTTGATAAAAAAGTTATAGTACTTCTTCGATAAAGAAAAAAAACTCTAAAATCCATTATTAATTGAATTTTTTATTCAAATTTAACAATTAAATGAGACAGCTTTTAAAATTGGTAAAACACTTTTAGTTTAAAGTTTAAAATTTAATTTTAAAATTTTTATTTTGTTTATTTTACTTTTAAAGATCTCTTTTAATATATTGATTTAAATTGTTTTAAGGCGTAATTTGTTTTTTAAATTTAATTTAATATACACATCTTTTTTTAAATTTTGTAGCATCTTTGTTAATTAATGTTGTTTTTTGTGCAAATCTTATTAAACTTCTATTAATTTTTAATAATTTATAAGTAAGCTTTGAACAATATAATTTATATAAATAGTTATGTTATTCATTCGATAGTGAATGATCGTTTCTTACTAAGCAAAGGAGGTAGGAGGTTCAAGGAAATTAAGTGGTTCTGAAATAGCTACAAAATATATAACAAGTCATCGTTAAATTCCAGATCCACATCTCGATTTTTTTTCTTCCTATTTTCATGCTGGCTCCTCTCCGCTTCTGTTGCACCAAAATCAGCAAAGCAAATCAGGCAATCCCGCTCCGCACACCTGTCATGCCAGTTGCATAGCTCGCAAAATCAAGTGTGATGCAAAGCGCATTATAGCATCGGCCCCTATCCAAGCGTGGTGTTTGTTGTATGACTTTTGTGGGCGGCAATAATTTTTGCACGATTAAGTGCGGTTGTTTTATGACTGGACTCGAGATTGAGTGAGCGAGTCAGTCAGCGTATGACGTCAAAATCAATGTGTTTAGCATAAGGCAAACATGGCATCGACTTTATTGGATTTATTCGAATCGGAGCGCCTCACTCGACAGATCGAATTTGCGTTTGCACTATGTAATGGATTGATTTCTGCACGTTGAGCCAGGCAAGGAGTGAGACGCAGAGCAAGGCAAATGTCAAACTTGGTTTGCGGAGCATACAAGCTCCAATGCATTTGAAAAGGAAAGAAAAAAATGGTTATATTTGAATTTCTCTAAAAAAAGGAAACAATTGAAATTAGTGCTAAAATTTTTCAAAAATTTGCAATCTTTAAATATTTTAATTTCGCTTTGGTTTGCTTAAATTAAAATTTTCATGAATGAATGGAGTTAAATGGCAAAGAACGTGCGAAATGAGGTGACTGGTGCGTTTGCTCAATCCCTCCATTTTCCCATTTCCTCCTCACAAAGCCGAGAAAATCCCCAAAAATCGACTTCTTGACAGCTCCAATTACATTTCCACCAGGCTCTCCTTTTGTCTGCTTTCGGTTCCCGCGGGACCAAATTCTTGTTTGAACTACAAGCCAGAAGATCCGACGAGGACGACGTTCAGCGTCGAGAATGTTAAATTTTGGCTCCCAGCAGCGCATGTGATGCCAAGTGAGGGTTTCCATTGAAGCGCCGGTGAAATTCAAAACAGGAAGTGCTCAACTAAAATATTATCTTGTTAGATCTGGTAACTGTAATTTCAGCCGAAAGGTCAAACGACTATACAAGTGCAGCACAAAACGCACTACAAATCATGAGGAGGTATAAATTTTGTCTCACGAGTCAACTTCCTCTTGAGAGACAACATTCATGAGCCAATCAAATCAACCCCGTTATGAAAAAGGCAGGCCATGAGCCACCTTCAAACCTAAAATTTTACTGCAAATTTTATTCAATAAGATTTGAAATGTTCAATAATTTTTATTACTTATCGAAAAAGGTTGTTTAGGGAATTATTTTATGATGAATTTTTTTGCTAAAAATTTATTAAACTTCAAATAAATATTTTTGCTTCGTATCAGGAAAACGAAAAATATTTTCAACAAATTAAATCAATAACAATTTTAGAGCTTGAAATTTGAAATTTCAACAATCTTAGTAAGTACAAATAATTTAAATTTATGCATATTTAAACAATTTTCCACTTCTTCTCTTAAATCGATTAGATTATTAATAATGTACCCTCTTTAGAATCATTTTCATTCGGCCTGTTTGTGTAGACCACACACATTATATACTACATGGCCGAGCAAATCCCGGACAAAATACACAAACCACTGGCGAGGGAGATAAAAAGTATGTAACACGGCGTGCGAAACAAAGCCGGCCGTCCAGCGGGACGCTAATTGGTGCGTGCAATGAATGAAAAGAGCGTTGGCGGACAGGCTGGTCGTCGTCGATTGACAGTGCAAATGAAACACGACGGAGTGTGTGAGAGTGTGTGTTCAATGCTGTTTTTATTGTTCCAAAAGCTGCTTATCGTCGAGAACAAAAGGGCCCACGCGCGCCGCAGACACAAAAACAAAGCGCTTGCCAATTGTGATCAAATTAATTGCGCGGCGGCCCGGCCCCTCAGGGGGAGAAAATTGATGACTTCTTTTTTATACTCTTCTTGTTTGGTTTTTATTGTGATGAATATTGTCGTACACTCGGAAAAAACAGGGCTGCGCTGCGGTACACGAGATTTTAGTCTAACGGCTAGAACAGCAAACAAGCAACAACTGGAGAGTATTTTTTGTTTTTTATACTTCTCAAGAGGTGCAACTAACTGTCGCACCCCCGTTTTCTTTAAATTTTTTCTTATTCTCATGTCAACGTTTCCGTAACGACCATACACACTGTGAATAACACTTGAGAGGGCGAGAGGTAATTAAGTTCTTTATATACCAATTAATTTTTATCTCTTTATATAATTATGTCTTTAAAGCTCCATAGCCAAAGTTCGCGTAATCGAAACGAAATTAATATGCTTAACAAAAACAAAGTGCGTATCAGCTAAGTAATAAATATACTCTTAAAAGGGAAAGATCAATCATCTTATTTCTTTTTTACAAGGTATCTCTTCTCTGCGTGATTAGTGTTTTTTTTCTCGTCCTTTTTTTTTAATTACATTATGCAATAGATTCTCTTCTTTTTTATTAAATGCGGTTATTCTTATGGTAGTTATGCGCGTTTTGACGTGACTTGAGCTGCTGCAGCAGAGTTCGCGACACGAACAATTATTAATTGATCCGCCTCGAGCACGGAGGCATATTTGCAATGCTAGTACTTTAGTTTGTATTAATATTTTGTAAGATGGGTTTTATACACCAGGTTGTCTCCAATTGACAGTTTTCCGCCTTTCCATCTGCTCACCGACGAACGCCCCTTGCGGAGAAGCGACGGCTGCTCGCAACCGCGGCTTGTCTGCTCGGGGCCCTATTATAAAATCTTGATGAACAAAATGGGCCGCGGACACCAGAGGTCAAAACATGTTTTTTTTTTCTCTTTACAATTTAGGGGCAAATTGTCTTCCGACACAAATCTGAAGCCACTCACTTATTAACCGCACTTCGATAGGTAATCAACATTTAAGATTCAACAATCAACATTTTTTCAACATAAAAACGTCTCTGCTTTAAACAGGAAAAATTTCACTCTCGCTGCACCTCTGGTGCCCGCGTCCCGAACAAATGACGTAGAAGCTCAGGTAACAGGTCTGCGTCCCCGAAGACCCCGAGAGTCCGATCTGGTACAAAATAATTTCCAGCGGGCGTCTTGCTGCGGGACGCGTCTCCGTGAAGAAGCACGTTTTAGTTTTACATATTTTTTTTTTAAATACCGTACGATAAAAAGCCTTACGCGGTAATTATTAGTAATCCTTACGTTAATTAACGTACAATATACAGATGATTACAATTCCATCTATTATTATCAATGTATATCACATGTTATTTGCGCGCTCGCACTCGCTCGTCACTGGGCTATGTGATTTGCCTGCAGTCCTAACGCGGATCGGCGCCACCCGTGCCGGCGGCGGCGACGGACGGCGCCGATAGTTAAGAACGATTGTCTCTGGGGTGGGGGTAGGACGTGCAGCGCCGGTCAAGGGCTCAAATTGGCCGGCGCGGGGGTCCTACGCGCACTTTTTCTTTTCATTTTTTTTTCTGAGTGTGAGAGTGAGAATGTCGTGTGTGCTTAGTGTGAGGCGGACTAATGTTAGAAAAATATCTAAGTCATGTGGAAGTCGCCCTTGAGCAGGCGCGTGAACGTCTTCTTGAACTGCTGGTTGGCCAGGGCGTAGCAGAACGGGTTCATGGGGCTGTTGGCGTAGCAAAGGAAATAGGAGAACATGTAGAGGTGCGCGTTGGTGCACGGCGGCTCCGAGCAGAAGCCCTCGACCAGCGCCAGAATGTGGTACGGCGTCCAGCACATCACAAAGCACCCCAGGATGAACGAGATGGTGCGAAAAGCCTTTCTCGCTCGATTCTCCGACTTGGATTTTTGCCTCTCGGCTCCTTTCCTGCGCCGCTTCCCTCGAAGCCGCTTTCCAATCGACTTCACCAGGTCTCTGCGAGTGGAGCCACCGTGCGGGGCCACTTCGGCGCGCGGTTTACTCAGCGGCGCCGGTTCTATCAAGTTTTGCTCCTTGGCCGGAGTCGGGTTCTCTGGTTTGGGGGTTGGAGCGGCCACGGTCACCGGAGGCTTGTTTTCCGCGACCACCACGGCCGTTTCTACCTTGGGCGGCGGTGGCGGAGCTTCCGACTGAGCAGAAGCGGCTCTGATCAGGGCCGTCTGCAGAAGGGACGTGTGCGCCGGCGATTCGGCAGTGCTCATCTGGGAGCAAGTTTGCGGCGACTCCACCCGAGGCGTGGCCACCGACACGGAACTCTCGTCCATGTAGCGCAGGTCAGCGTTGTCGAGTCCAGTGATGGCGTCGTAGATCGGAGGTGCGGACGCACAAGAATTGTCTTCCGAGTCCGCACCACTTTTGTCAGTCTGTGGTGGAGGATTGCGTGGTGGCACAGGGGGCGGCAGTGAAGGTACAGGTGAGGCTGCTGGAGGTGGAGTAGGGGAGCTCATCGGGGGTGGTGCCAGCATAGATGGCGGAGGAGCGAGGGATGCTGCGGAAGGAGGGGCGAGAAGGGCGTCAAACTTTGGTGGGGCTCCGTTGCTGGGTGGCTTGATCCCTTGAAAAAGGGCTGCGATCGAGGGGCAGACCGAAGGCCGCTTCTTGGGAGCGTCGCCACCACTGTCGTCTTCGTCAGAGTCAAAAGCTGGGCTGCTCGAGCGCTCCGACTTCTCATTCTCGGCGCCACCGGCGCCGTTGTTGTCGGTTCGCTTATGCTTATCAGCTGAAAAGCTGGTGGTCTCGGTGGTGGCCTTGGAGGTCTTCTGGCTGGAAGTGGAGTCGCCAGAGTTCGGAGCGGCAGGAGCGAGAGCGCCGGGTGTTTGGGCAGTGGTGCAGGTTTGCGCTGTTGTGGGTGTTGCAGGCTTTGGCTTGTCCTGGCTGAGCAGAGTGCTCTGCGTCTTGGAGATGTTCATCGCCGGTCTCGGGCCACCCATGCCGCCCATTCCTCCGAGGCCAGACAACGCTCCGACGCCCAGGGCAACCATGGACTGCATCTTGCGCTGCTTGGCCTCGGACTTCTTCTGCATGTCGTAGGCTGTCTTGTAGATGCCACCGTAGAGGATGAACAACACGATCAGGGTGGTCCAGTAGTAGCCGATGATGAGGGCTGTGTTGAAAACAGGGTCCTTTAGGAACTGCACGGCGCACTGGCCGGGGGCGAGGTCACGGAAGCCCACAAAGTGCTCCCAGCCGAAGATGCTGATGAAGAAGAGCAGAGCTGGAATGATCCATGTGATGGTCACCATCCAGATGACCTTGTTCTTGGTGCGCCAGCCGCGGTACTTGGCGGCAATCTTGACCGAGCAAAATCGGTCGATGGTGATGAGCAATACTGTGTACTGCGAGACTAGACACACGGTGTAGTCCACCGAGAGCCAAAGGTCGCACAGCAGCGGCCCGAGGTCCCAGTAGCCCATCAGCACGTACACGGTGTAGAAGGGCATGGACACGGTGCCGATGAGCATGTCGGTGGCCGCCAGCGAGGCGATGAAGTAGTTGGACGGCTGGCGGATGGTTCGGTCCACGATGAACGCCAGCAGCACCAACACGTTGCCACCAACGGTCAGCAGGATGCAGATGGACAGGCAGATCGCGATGAAGATGGTTTGCCACAACTCGAACGGCGGCAGCACGGCGAGGTCTTTGGGCGCGGCAGGAGCTTCTGTCACGTTTCCCGACAGGCTGTCGTTTGCAGACATGTTGGCCATGAACTCAGCAATGCTGGCCTGCCAGTTTGGCTGATTCTGCTTGGCCACGTTGCCCCCGCTGCCCACGGTGTCCGTGCCATCCACGCTGAAGCACTCCGTAGTCGCCAGCAGCTTTTGGTATGCAAAGCGACACAGCCGCTCGCGCTCCTTCTGCAGCTTCCTGAAACACAAATAAAAAACATTTTAAAAAATCTATCATTATATATAATAAATCGTAGGCTGTTTTGGAGTCACCGTTATTTGTCGGAAAACAGTCTTCTGAATTAATAAGATATTTTTTTTTTATCTGGAATTTATTGCTCAAAAATTGAGTATTTCAATTTCCAGAAATTCAAAAATAAGAAAATCAATGATCCTAATTTTTTTCCTCATTATTCTAAAATTTATTATTCTTAAATTTTTAAGTTAATTGTGTATTATATTGGAAATATTATATCTTTCTAAAAATTAACTTAGAAAAAATGTAAATAAATATGTTGATATACAAAAAATGTACACAAATAATTATGATTACAAAATGATAATTGAATTGAAAAAATTTAGCGGCTACAACGGTTACAAAAAAGGGAGTAAAAAGCTGATGTAAAGATTTTCATTAGTTTGTTTGCGAAAGCGAATTTTAATGCTGTAATATTTGGTCACCTATAATGGAGGTAAATAGCTCTTTTTTCTCCATCATCTAGTAAAATTTATGACATTTAAATTATCAAGCAATTAAAATTTTAAATAATAGAAACATAAATTTGTATAATTTTTAGTGTATACATAAATAATAGGTTAGTTTATCTCATCACAAAAAAATATTTATTTAATGTTAATTTTTTTTAAACAATTTTAAAAATTAATTTTTTTTTATAATAAAAATAAACAACAAGCTTGCAATTGAATGAAAATTTGTCTAATTTTCATCATTTTTTTGGCTCATATTTACAAATCACGCGTTTTAAATAAATATAATGCTGCAAAACAATGACCACTGTTTTAAACAATATGTAAATACACTTTCATGGAATTTTTTCTCACTTTAGTAATAAGAAATAATAATAAATCATAATAATTTTAACTCTATAAATTTTTAAAGACAAATTAGGCTTGATTTTGTTTGCAAATTGCTTCACATGCTTAAAATAATTTAAAATTCACTTGTAGCCTTTTCTGATAAATTTATTTCATGCAAATGAATCACGTTGTTCTGATAAATAATTTCTGAGGAATAATTTCCGGTCAAATGACAAATAAAAATGTTTTCTGATTTATTTTTCTTTTGATAGATAAGGGATTCCCTATTTTGTTCAAAGTAAAATGCATTGTATAATTTTGCTCTCAATAACATTAATATTTTCTAGACAAGGTCGACAATATTAATGCGAAAAATTGTTTTAATAAGAAACTTCTAGCTTGACATTGTATCATCAAAAGGGAGCAAACGCAGAGAATGTCGCAATGAATTTTTTATTAACCAGAGCGAATACAAATGACACACAGTCTCTGGCACACACATTATTGTAAAGAAACGGCAGGTTTGTGTGTGATAATGACTTCCAATTGTTAGGGCGCGCGCGCTGCTATTTGCGACTCCCTCGAGACGTTTGCTAAAAGCTCTCTTAAAAGCCACCAAGACAAAGCAAGAAAGAATAAAGAAAAGCACCGCAACCCCGGCCGCGTGCATTGCTACTTTGAGATTCACCCTGTCAATGAATGCACACGTTTAATCCGCGAGTGAGCACACACTTTTCTTTTGTCCACTCCCCACCTTCCTTTTATCCCCGGGGCAAATTAAACACACGCTTTTGGCGCCGCCACGGATTAGCCCACAGAGATTTGCATAAGGAAAAAAAGTGATCCTATACATACTGGCACCCGCAGAGAGCTCTGGAATTTTATATATATTTCGCTGCATCGCAAGAAGATTCGGACGGAGGGGAACTGCATAGCGTCGTGTTCGCACTTCAAAGCAAATGACCCGCCCGACTCACAATGGGGATTGTATTACAGAGCAGACTTTTATCAAGCCAGCGTCTCATCTATTATGAAAATGGTCGGCAAATGTCTTTTGAATGAGAGAGCTGCTCTGGATGGATGAGGCGGCGGCGGCGGCGGCCTCAATGCATACGACGAAGGCCCCTCCGGCCAAGTAAAATATTCATCGTGCTCAACTGATTTGATCCGACTTGTGCATGTACCATACAGTCTCCTCTGCATTTTGCATTTCGCAATCAGTGCAAGTGACGCGAGAACGTCGATCTCGCTTTCTTTCTTTAATATATTACGCGCGTATTTTCTTCTCTCATTGTCCTCTTTTTTCGCGTGCCCTAGTAATCTGCGTCGGATTGCGCTGCTCAGGGGGTTCGCAATTCGCCCAGGAATAGAACACGTACGTAGATGGGTTCTTCTTTTTTTGCTGAAAGAGGAGCGAACACAAGACACGCTTATGGTCTCTGCTTTGTGTGTCGATGTCGTGCAGGGAAAATTCGCCAGAGATAAGAAGTAGGTCGGGTTGCATTACCAGAGACGTTTTTTTATTTTAATTTCTGGCGGACGGGACGATGGAAGAAAGGCGACTATGGCCAACAGTTTTTTGCATGACTCGCTTCTTTTAAAATAGAACAATGTGCGTGATAATTTTGTTCGTATATAAAGACAGGAGTTGTTTAAGGCTAATAAAAGATTTAATTATTATTTTTAAAGTGATTAAAAAATTGTAGCTGTTTGAAAATTTTCACAAGTTACAACTTAAAAGGCAAAACGAGTCATTTATAACGTAATTAATTTTTGCATGATGGAAAAAAAATTGGGAAACGTGTAAAATAATGTAGTCATTAATTTCGTTTGAATGGAACGAGACTTGTGAAATTATTTTTGAATTTATATAATTTTCCATTAACGGGAATAACACGTTAGTGTCAAAAGCGGTAATCCAACGAGTTGGTGCAAATTGCGGGTAGGTAAAACGGCGGCGCTCCATGCAATTTAATTAATTTGTCAGCGGCATCGAGTCGCCGTTCGGAGCAGCACGTGCTGCTGGCTGCTGTTTAATTGACCGCAAAGATAAACAAAATTAGCAGATTAAATCGTGTGGCGACCGCATTCACAGCTAAATGCAAATGTGTGTTCTGTCTCTCATTATATTGATCTGAACGAAGTGTTGTGAGCAGAACCGCAAGCACCGGAGTGTGGAATGTTGTCGTCGTCGGTGCAGGAGAGAAGGGAAAGGAGGCTCGATATCAGCTCAGCGCGCCGCTCACTCAACAAGACTCATCTGTTGATAATGGATTTGCCTGGCACGGCTCCAAAGGCCCGCCAGTCCACGCGAGGCTCAACACGTTGCCTTTCTGCCCAACAAAATAATAATGTTTTATTACGTGAATTAACCGGCAGAGCTGAGAGCGAAACAAACGGCCATGCAAAACAATCGCGGTTGGTAAAACAATACCATGGCATGGAAGCAGCGAGTTATTATTGCTGAATAGCTCCATCGATTTTGACGTCAAAACTTTCGTCTTTGTCGTGCAGATTTAATACGAAAGTTTTAAACGCGGTGCCGAGACGTGTTTTGAGATGAGGACGCGACGGGAATTATCGGTCTTTTGTCACGGATTTCCTCTCAATTAGAAAGATTAATGGGACTGTGCAAGTCCTTCAATGAGAGCAAATATAAGACGTGAGCTAAAATCGATGGTACGAAAATTATTCAAGTTTATTCGCATTTAAATTTTATTTAAATGAATTTCTGATTGAATACTTTTGTTTTCGTTTTGGCTCAAATATTTTGTTAATGCTCATTGGGCTAGTGCAAAAAATCATATTAAACTTCTCCGATAAGGCAATATGCTCGAATTTTAGTTCAAAGGCACAGGGAAAATTGTATTTCAAGGGAAAAATGACTCTAAAAATTTTTTAGCGAGTCAGTTCCTCTAAGAAACTAAATATTAATTTTAAGTATAAAAAATTTTAATCATTCACAATTTATAATTTTCTTTCAATATTTCAATTACTTCAAAGGCATTGAGGAACATATTGGGCGCTTTATTTATTGAAAAAATATTAATAAAATTTATAATGTAAATTTTAGAAAATATTGTCGAACAATAATAACATTTCATTATTAATAATCTAAATTTTTTTCTACAAAAAAATAATTTATTTAAATAAAATATTTAGTATATAAAAAAATATATATTAATATATTTTAAAAATTTTTAAAATTATTTACAGTATAAATTTTAAATTACAGTTTTAAAATAGTCAATTTTTAATTTATAAAAAAAAATAGATTACTTTTGAACACAAATTTTGTTGACGGTATAAAATGTAGTGAGTAAATTTAGAGATAACCACTTTTAACCCAGCGCTTTAAGCTCTCTCTATTTTTGCCGAGAGCATCTCTGTGACAAACATAAGCTTGGGTGTAAAACTCGTTCTTCTCACATGACCGGTAATTGGCGACGCAGCTCAACGTTCTCCCATTCCCAGAGCGGAAAGGGTGGCGGATAAAACTTTATCATGCACATAAAAATCGAGATCAGCGTTCTGTCGTGCGTAAAAAAGAACGAGAGCTGGAATGCGAGCGAGTTGTGCGGCAGCTCGGAGGCTAATCGAGATGTTGTCACCGACGACTTCCAGGTATGTCCGCTGATAATCTGAGGCAGCGAGATTGGGGGTGCGTGGAATTCCCGGGATCGATGGTGGTGCACGATAAATATATTCCCAAGGAATTCGGGTGAAAGTTGTTTTAATTTGGCCCGCGGCAGATTTACGAGCGACAATAATTACGGCTGGCAGCTCCTTTGACGGAATTACGGCGACGACGATGAGGATAAAAGTCGCGTGTAATTAACGGCCCGAGACACACTTACTTAAATTCGCGCTGGCGCTGCATCATGCACACATTTTTCGCCGTCGAGCGTCCTCTTTAATTAGCACAAATATCTTGCGCTCCCGGAAATTAAATTGGACGCCCGCGATTTTGCCTCTCGTACTAATTAAAACTGCTGACGGATTCGTTAATGACTATTGCGCCCGTAAAAAGTCACATTATGCAGCTGTGTGCGCGGAAAAGTTTTAAATCGGCGCTCTCATTTTCGTCCCGGACTCTTCACTTTAAGAGCGGGCACGTGTCTGAAATTTTAAAAGTATTTTTGTAGCCGTCAATCTGGAGTG